GGCCCCGAAGATTGCGACCGAGTTGAGTTGTCAAAAGGTTGAAATTAGCCTTGACCCCTTGGCTGATGGCTAATGGCTGATGGGCTGACGGCTAATGGAGATGCCTGGTAACAGTAATGGTACCAGGAAACTGCACTTAGAAAAACCAAGAAGAATAACTCTTTTGATACGAAAAAGTAGTAAGCTGAGCTGATATCAACACCCTTTTTTCTTTCACTGCCTTACGGTTGTGCCAGACCACATCCTTGACTTGGAAACGCGGAAAATCAGGCATGTCCAATCCAAGTCCAATTAGTGGGCCGAGACAGGCGACCTAACAAGATCGTCAGATTGTCTCGCCAATGACAAGAACAAAACAAAGTGTGATCGGGGGAATAGAAGATAGAATTGAAACAGGAATAGGAATAAGAATAAGAATAAGAATAAGAATAGGAGTAGCAATTGGAATGCGAAGGGGATTATGATTAAGTGCGTCCACGTTCCATGTCTCGCGCTTAGTTTTTCCAGCTCACAAATGAAAGTTACCTTGACGAATGACCCATATAGCCACAATACCAAAAAGGGTCAAAGATAAATGCGGAGGCACGAGTGCAAAGACCCATACCCATACCCAGACCCAGAGCATTGGGCCGCTCGTTTTATTTCAAATTAAATTATTATTTCCCTCTCTTGTTGTTTACTTAAGTCCGTGTTCTGGTGGCCAATTATGTCTTTATGGGCATAAGTAGAACCCAGACTAAGGCCCAGACCGAGAAAACCCAAGAGCCAAAAGCCAAAAACCAAACCAAACCGAACCAGACCGAATCGAAGAGCTTCGGGGGCCTGCCCCGCATAATTGCATAAAGCCAAGATCGGGGAATCAGGGGTATCAGGCAATCAAAGATCTGATCGCCATGGCCCTAGGTTTTCCACTTTCGAGTGGAGAAGCATACATGCATCGATTCGATCGATTCGAGTTTTCTACCATGTAATTATATAAATTAAAGAGCATTTAGAAAATTTAGCAGTTCTAATGACCTACAAATTGTGAATGCCCAAGAGACCAAGAGAGACCGAGAGACCGAGACTAGACCACAAGAGAGATATCCATCGACGATCCGAGAGGTGAGTAGGTAATGCGCCCCGAGTTCCATTTATGGCAATTGGTTCGAAATGATGGGAAATCGGCAATAAAGCAATCACTGCAAATTACAAGCTTCTGTTGAAAACGAAAACTCGAAAAACTCTCAAATCGATTTGGATTGCCAGAACCTTTGTGCCTCTTTACCTCTATATATGCTGGCGGAGAAAGTCTGGCTAGAATTTTGAAAGTCTGGCCTCCAATTTAAATAGTTAGCCCGTGATGATGAGAAGGTCGAAGTACACACACTCGACCATCAGTGTGTCAAGTTATCCCTGCACTCTTCGAATGATTGCACAATCTCGAAGCCCTTTCCCTAAGTCGGATTACAAATGAGTTTCTCATAAATCGCAACGCTAGTCGACAGCCTCGGCAAGTTATTGGTGCCTGGAACACCTGTGACCCCCAACGATGATCACTGGGCAATTGCATATCGTCGATCGAGAGGAATGATGGCGGGGACGGGGCACACATGCAGATGATACAAATGACCAGCACAGCTGGACGACTGCCCCTAACGAACTGGACAACCGACTGGAGGACTGGAGCCCGTTACCTTTACCAAACTTGGAGCCCAAAGTTCCAGCCAATTGACGAATTGACCCAGGCATCAGGCACAGCCTGCACAGAAAGAAAAGTTCTTAGTACCTATGATAGGATGGATATCAAGATGAGTTTTCCACGAGAAGAAAATCAAGGGAAAATCACATCCTTGTTTCTTTCTGTGCTTGTAGTTTGGCTAACTGGATTCTGGGACACTCGACAGGCCATGGGAAAATGCAAATGTCCGAGTTGCAAGGCACATTAGCATATAGCATGCAACATAGAGTCCCGATTATGGTTATGATCAGCGTCCGCACATGTTAACAATGTGTCCCGAGCTAACGGTTTCCCCCACCCAAACCCCATATACACATCCCTTTTTTATCGAAAGGGAAATCCTTGGGTAAACCTCTTAGCATCCGAAACGGTAGCTTGATCTTTGAAGATCCGCTGATGGATTCATTGACCTGGTAACCCCTTGGCAAACGGTGATCAGCCATTGTCTTAATTCTCCTGCTGCTTCTGGGTCATCAACTATCAAAATATTTTTGCCATTAAGATCGGTGATTATATATTGTGCTCCCTCCATCCCCATCCACCGGAATCCCAGACGTACTGCCATTGCCATTGCCATTGCTTGCTCCGCACTCAAATAGATGGGCAAAGCTTCATTTGGCCTGATGATGATTACTCTACACTCGCCTTGCTCTTTCCCTTCTCCGCCTCCAGGTTTCGCCCGATTCTCGAATCTCGATTCCAGATGCCAGATGCTAGATGCTAGATGCTAGATGCCAGACGATTTTCTGCTCCTCGCCGACATTTGCTAATGTCTTCTGCCGTACCGTTAGCAGTCGTTAGGCGCTAAAATCGTAATAAGTTAGCGAATTTCGCCCAAGTCCAGGGAATTTGTCATCATTCTTCTGTAAATTCTGCTGTTGTGCCAAATGCATTTGGGAATAACCTTCATTATGCATCTTAAAAAGGTACAGCCTTTAGCATTTCTTAGGAAGATAACGAACCTTGACCTAAAATTTCTTAAAATGCAGAAGCAACTTTCGAAGTATGTAAAATAACAAAGGAAACGTCCTCCTCAATGTCTTTCAAGGCTTAAGAAAGACAAGTTAAATCTTATTAAAAGATATTTTAAACTTGTTTAGTTAAGAGCCGAAAGCCCCATAAATATGCTAACTTTTAGCTACCAACGCTGGCCAAAAGTGTGCAACATAAAGCATAAAGGCAGGTGGCTTTAAGTAGACAACGGGTAAAGTCTTAAAAGCCAAGACTGCGGCATTGGGCTTATATACCATAAGTATAGACCAACAAGAAAATCGGCGAATTTCCCTTGAAGTTATTTAGCAAGAGTTTGAGTTTGTGGGGGAATAACTCACTCGGTGCCGATGAAATCGATAATCTGCAATAACTCGCGGCATTTCCTTTCCTTTAGATACCCTGACAAGAGCCGCAATAGCTATTCGATTATAGACATTATACTAAAAGCTGGCAATCGTCTATGGTTCCTTGCGGATATTCTTGATTGATTTCCATTCGGTCGTTTCATTTTTGGCAAGCCTGAGAAACACTCAATAGCCAACGAAGTAAGAAACCAATCCATTTGTTCCGGTATTGGCAAGGAAAATTTGTTAGCGTGTTTCGGCCATCGGTTTTTCCAGCGGCTTCGTTTTGGCTTCTCTTTTTGGGGCTTGCTGTTTTTTTTATTGTTCCACCGCCTCTAGACTAGCCAGCGTAACCATGGAGTTTCTGGCAAATTGCATCACAAATACGGCTCTGGCGTTTACCAATCCACACTCGCTGGCACACTCACTTAATGACGACGACTATCACCCAGTCGGCTGGCCAGTCATTGGAAAACATTGCCTCGTTGTCGGCTCGTGCTGATCCAGAGATCCAGGGGAGTGCGTCCATTGCCACACAGAAAGAAAATGTGATCCATACTTCGTTTTAAACCCCATACCATCGGCTTCTTATATGATAACCACTTTCAATATTCTTAATAGTTAGAGTGAGTTTCCATTACTATGATATCTCAGTTTCCTATTTCTAGACTTTCAAAGGCTTATCCTTAAGTTTTTGGTGACTGTGTAGAAGATCATATTCGAATCTCATTTGGCCATTTCGCAAGTCCGAGGTCGTTTGTTTCATCTATTGGGTATTGCAAAACGCTGACTTGTTTATCTCCTAATGAGCCGCTTTCCTTGCGCCTGACTTCTGGCTTGGCCAAAAGCTTTTCCAATTACGATCTCAGGTGTTGGACCTCCGCTGGAATCAAGTATTTCACGTTCAAGTCGCGACTCTGGTTTCAAGTCTCAAGTCTCAAGTAAAATTACGCATTAAACGCAGACGCAATCCAAAGGAAGAAACATGAAATAGTTTGTCAACCTTTCGGTGGATAGTTGGCCAAGCTGGCTTTTCGGGGATCGAGAGATCGATGTAAGCCGTTTTTTTCTATCGGTTGTAGTCCTATAATATTAATATAGTAATATTATAATGATATCCTATTCATCTTCAATGACTTGTGACTCCATAAACTGATCTTTCGTTTCGTTTTATACTCACTAAGATATTCATTCATTCTAGTTTCAAGTTTTTAGGATAGCTCCTTAAGGATAATTCATACTAAACTCAATCTGGGTTATCCCACTTTCATGCCACAATCTCAACACCAGTTCTTAGACATCAGACCACTTTATGCAATCGAAGGCGTGGATCAATGGCTTTCCACTGGACATTGGACATTGTTTGGTGTGCGAATGAATGGTTTTTGGATTATTGCGACATTTTTATGCCAGGTGCCTGTCGTCGTGCCGCTACTATTATTGTGGTAATTGTTTTGGGCCATGCATATGGGAGCTAGTTCTGCCAGTTGTCCGATCAGGTCACTCCACTCCACTCCACTCCAGTCCAGTCCAAAATCCAAGCCGAGATCACCTCTCTTTTGCGAAACAGGCACACCGCACACCACACACACACACACATCCATTCAGCTTTGCTAGCAAAAATTGATCATAAAAAGCATTCGTTTGGTTTCATTTAGGCAGTTGCCTTCGCATTTGGCCGTTTGCATTTGCAGTTGTCAGGTTTTTGCGAGTGCATATAATATGCCTTCTGCTTGTTTGCTTTATAGCGCTTTTCCACACACTTCGGGGCTGAGCAATGGGAGTGAGTCTCTACTCCAATAGTTTAAAACTCCCATATAGCCACGAATCCGAGTCTGAATCCGAATCCGAATCTGAATCCGAGCTACGAACTTCGAGCTCCCAGCTCCCAGAGTTCCCAGCTCTTAGATGCCAACGTTGGCGGCGCTTGATCAGTTGCGGTTTTTACTTTCATCGGTTCGGTTGACGTCGTGTGGTCTAGCCCAAAAATCATACAAGACCTGTCCAGAAAACACACATTTCGGTTAGCTTTTCTTTGCATTGGCTTGGCTTGGCTTACACACATGTTTGTCCATCCAATTGCCACTTGGATTGTGTTATTTTGTTTGTTTTTTCGGTTGCTTGTTGGTGGGGAAACAATTGAATTGCAAGCCATCCCACTAAAAAGAGTGTGTGTTCACAGTTAGGGGGCAAAAAAAAAACAGACCCTCACCTTTCACTTTTTCCCCAGTTGGACATTCTAATGGCAAACCTAAAGCTCCACCTGCAGACATGCAGATATTTCAGTCAGTTTAGTTTCACTTCTCTTTCTAATCTTACTCAACTCTTCTTCTCAGAATCAATCAAATAACTTTTAATATAAGAAATCTATTTGGTTTCCTTAAATCAATTAAGACCGAATTGCATAATATGGTGGAAAGCAGTGCAGTGGGCAGTCCCGATGATCATCGTCACACCATCTTGGCGAATTGATACGCGGAAGTTATATAAACAATGATACCAATAACCTCCCGACGCTTCGGCGCTTTTCCAGCTTGGCCACGACCACGACGACTGGCGGTGGTCACAACACGTTTAACGAGTTTTTCTCTTTCGGTTTTCAGGAAATTTTGCAATTTCCCCCAGCAGCAGCAGCAGTTTTTTTTTTTTTTTTTCGCAGACAGCCTCCAAAACGAAGCTGGTCTGCTTAGAAACAAATCAAAACGAAAATCGATTCATAAACAAGTGAAAATTACGCCAGGCCAATGTCCAAATTCCAAGATTATCCATGTCTCTCTAGCTCGCACTTGCTCAGCTCACAAATCCTGGAAGCTCTTATCACGATGAAGCCTTCGTTTCAGGAAACCACCACACCCATGAACCAACTGGCCAGAATCTGAGATTGCGACAATGACAGCGGAGGAGCACAAGGGAGTAGAGAACTGTGCGCGCAACTGCGTCCCCCGGGAAAACCAGCAGAATACCTAAGACAATGCAGGGCAGAGATTAGCCAGACATTGCACCAGAGACTCAATAGCTACAGGCACAGGCCCACAACGAGCGTACAGATTCCAGTGTAAAGTGGCAAAGTGGAGAGAAGGGGGAAAGAAGCGCATTTTCCAAGTGTCCAGGTGGCAAATATGCCAAACCCAAGGATTGCCTCATTGGCTCTTCTACTGCTAATCTGCTGCTTTCCCACCACCAAGTCCTCAAATGAGACACAAAAACAGGAAGCGGAGGCCCTCACAGGACATCGGTTTGCGAGCAGTAACAGCAACATAACCATCTTGCATGAAGTGCAAGAAACGGACACCGAGTCACCATTAGTCCTGAACACGCACGAGGTCCTGCCGCTTAAGCCATTGAAAAAGAAGCCCTATTTGCCGCTGGAGAAAATCATTCCGACCATTGAGTATGTGAAGCCACCGCATCCACTAAAGGAGTACGAACTGCATCCGGTCACTTTCGACTTCAACTTGGGCGACCTGGAGGATCTGGAGCATGAGGTGATCAAGAAGGGGGATCTCAGCAGTCAAGAGCAACATGTCCTGGCTCTGGACACTAGCTACAGTCCCTCCAATCCCGATGAGAACGATACTGTGGATGTGGACATAGCCGAGCTTTCCACAGAGCCCACAACAGCCACTTCGCCAGGAACGACGACTCCTTCGACGACTACAACCACCACAACTTCCAGTACTCATATCCTAAAAATTCTGCGCAGTAAGCCCCAAATGGCGCCAAAATCGGGACGCGATCTGCTCAAGCAAAGTGGAGACGATGATATGCAGCTGAAAACCTTGGGCAGTACCATCAATAGCATCAACCCCTACCTGGGGGTCAATGCAAATGGCACGGGAAACAGCAGCATGGCCGAGAGTCTATACGGCCAGGCCAACTACTTCCAGCTGGTGGCCAATCTCTACGACCACTTCTTCTGGCAGATTTCGGAGATTCGGACAAGTGTTCGTACAGGTTGTGGTCTCGAGATGCAAGCCTACCTAACGGCCCTGCACTCCAGTTACGAGTGGGCCCAAAGAGGTGAGTCTCTGCCAGGGACTATCTCAACATCTTATTCCATATGAACCGTTTCAGCTTATGATTCATCTGGACGGTATCGTGGTCAGTTGCTCTTTGGCAACGACAAGTGGCTTGGTCAACTGTCCTTCTGCTATGAACTCAATCGTCAGAGTTCCATGGAGGAGCGCAAGCACTTCGAGTTGGAATTCTATGTGGCGGATGTGGCACTTCATTTGCCCCGGCTAAATCGATCGGTGTGTGTTTTTGTTTGAGTTTTTAAAGTTCCGCAAATCACTTATCAGTAATCCTTTTAATCTTCTAGATGCTTCTGAGTCTGGGCGAGTGTTTACCCAAATCCTGTTCCGCCCACGATGTTAAGTCCATCCTGTCCCTGGATCCTTATGCTCGAATGCTAACTGTTTTGGGGGCACACAATACCTCGGTGCAGCAACCACCGCTCCAGGTTCTGCACGTTCGCACTGTGCCCGGACTTTATAGTCACTGGCGGCAGCTGAAGTTCCAGGTGTTCATGTAGGTTGTCATCTTAGAAAATCTCTGTACATAATACAAGCTGTTATCCCACCGTAGAAGCTTTATGCTGACTCTATTTCTGGTGATTCTGGTAGCTTCATATTATCAGCTCAAGATCGACGAACGTCGTTTGGTGGTGGCTTCCATTTCGGCTATTAGTGGCAAATGCGATGGAGCCTCAGCGAAAAACAGTGGCTTTTATGGCAAGCCATTCGAGCTCTTTCAGATGCGTCCCTTGGGCAGCACGAATGCCGCAACAGATGGTCCCGAAATGGATGTCAATGGTAATAGACAGCGATCTGGGGACTCTACTGACATGGCAGATGGGGTTTCAGGTGTTGTTGGGGATCCCAACACCTCCACATCGATGAGTTCGATGGCGGGTAAATCGGAAATGACCGATTACCAAGTGGAAACTGGAAGTTGTGCCGGGGCCACCGGAACGTATGAGGCAGAGCAGCCGATTGGTGAGTGTTCAATTTTCCCAGTCATCCTGCAGCTTCCCTACTTTTACTTTTCCAGCTTTGCACCAACAAATACTCTTATGCTTTGCCTTGCAAACCAATGCAAAGGCGATTCTAAACATCGACAAAACCAAGGAGGTAAGTTTCGAGATAAAATGTTCTCAAAGCCCATTCAGCTTCTACTGCTTGAATTCAATAACAGACTCACACGTCCTGCCTGCATGGTTTGCGAGTCTTCTCTGTTCTCTGGACCATGATGGTGCACACATATCTGCAGATGTTTGCCATTGGCGAGAATAAAGTAAGTATGAACTTAACTTGATAGAAGATGCCATGAGTAATAACAAAAAAACAAACTCAGTTTGAAAGGGTCATCACAGAGCGCTCCTTTTGGTATCAGGTGATTGGCAATGCCACCTTTTCGGTGGACTCGTTCTTCTTTATCAGCGGCCTGCTGGTCACTCTGCTCTACCTCAAGCAGGATCGCAAGCAACCTGCCGAGACCTGCCTCTTTATCAAACGTAGCTTTTCGGAAACGTTCATGATGCTGCTCTATCGTTATCTACGACTCACTCCAGTTTATCTCTTTGTTGTTATCTTCAATGACTTTGCCGTAAGGTGAGGTATATATTAAGTATAACCCTTACGATCCTTGGTTATAATATAAGTACCATATTACTATTGCAGACAAGGACTGGACTCGTCGGTGTTTCAGCCGGCCAAAATCGAGCACAACACGTGCCGCGTCTATTGGTGGCGCAATATATTGTACATAAATAACTATTTTCCACAGACGGAGATGTGCATGATGTGGAGTTGGTATATGGCCAATGAAATGCAGTTCTATGTGATGGCTGCTTTGCTCTTGGCCTTGGCCAGAAAGTGGGTTGAACCTCCTCAAAGTCCTAAGAGTTAGATCTCAGTTCCTTTTGATTTTAGGTACTTTAAAGCCGTGGCTGTCACGTTAGTCGTATTTCTGCTAAGCTCGTGGAGCATCTCTGGTATTATCTCCCTGCAACACCAGTACACCCACAAAGTGGCCCTACCTTTCGAGTCCTTTGACTTCCTCTATGACAAACCCTGGCAGCGAGTGGGCTCTTACATTGTGGGTAAGTCGTAAATACAACACTTGTAACGCCTAAGTACTAAATTAATGAACATGTTTAACCTGTCCCTAACTTAGTTAACTTAGAAAACGAAGATCATATGCAACAAAAATCATAGAAATTAGACTTCTAATGATTTTACTAAACCTTTTTAAGCTCTTAGTAAAAGTAAACAAAATTCTTGACTCACCCGAGACTCACTCCTTCTTTCCACCGTTGTTTTGCAGGAATGTGTGCCGGCTACGTTTTGTACAAGGTGAAGACTCCACCGTTGGTTTCCAGGCGTCTGAACTTGTCTCTTTGGGCGGGCAGCCTGCTGGTGCTCATACTCGTGGTCTTTGGCGTTTGGGAGGGCCAATTGAGCACCGTCAGCACTGCCTTTTACGTGGGTGTGGCCCACACCGCCTTCGGCTGCGGTTTGGTCTGGATCGTATTGTCATGCTGCTGGGGACTTGCGCCCACCGTAAATGCGATCCTGTCGTATCGCGTGATGTGGCCGCTTTCACGACTTACATACTGCGCCTATCTGATCCATCCCATCATAATGTTCATATGCTCGTCGCACATGAGCGGCACTGTTCACCTTAGCAATCCTCTAATCCTAACCTTATTCCTTGGCAACGCCGTCGTCTCCTTCGGCTCAGCTTTTGTTATATCCGCCTTTTTCGAGGCGCCCGTCATCCGAATACTCAAGATTTGCTTCAAAAAATGATCGAATCTGTATATATCCTGTACATATAATGGTACTTACGTTAATTATTGTCCATTTCGTTGATTTTTGGTTAAGCTATCCAGAAACACGTGAGTCTAGTTGGTTCTCCATTTTTGTTTTTTTTTTTTGCGCGCGTCTGTAACGGAACAATTTGCATAGAGATGGCACCTGTTTATTAATATCTGTAGGCCTAGATATGTGTTATATTTGTATATATTAAGAGGGGTTCGTCAGTGCAAGTGGAGTGTTTGAAATAAAATATAAAATATTAACATAAGCTTATGGAGTGATTTCAATCTGAATTTCTAATTCAATGGATTTTTTATGACATTTCAGGAAGCAACAATGCTATTAGACAAGCTGCCTACGTAGTTTTTCACGCTTGATTCATCAATTTCTTCGAAAACAGATTAGATTATTATATAAAACATAAATTCTTATAAGATTTAAGCACAAATATTTCAAATTGTTTTGTTTTCCCTCTCTTTGCTCGATTATTCGATACTTCGATATATCGATATATCATGCTGGTAAGTTTACTGCGACGACATCGAAGAATCGATAAGATTTGCCTTCACTGTTGATTCGTTACCACCTCTAATACACGTGCGCCTGTTTTGATTTCTTGTAAACAAAAATGCTTTTAAACTAATAGTTTTAGCCGCAGCCAGTTGAATAAGCCAAAATATGTCGCGAATTATAGTTAAACAACTCCCCAAGCATGTGAGTAGATGGAGTTTTTTATCTTTGTCATGTTGAAAGAACCCTACAATCCGCCATCCAGATTACCGAAGACAAACTGCGTCAGATTTTCGGTGCCCAGGGAACGATTACGGATCTTCAGCTGAAATACACGCCCGATGGAAAGTTCCGACAGTTCTGCTTCGTGGGCTATAGCTCTGAGGAGGAGGCCCAATCGGCCATCCAACATTTCAACAACACATGCATCCAAACCAGCCGGGTGCGCGTAGAGGCCTGTGCCGCTTTGGGCAGCGAGGATAAGCCACAATCCTGGAGTAAGCATGCAAAAGACAGTAAGAAAAATCTAGACAAACTAAAGGCAATCGAGGAGGAGGCGGCGAAGGCCAATGAGTCAAAGAAAAAGAGCAAGGAGAAAAAGGACAAGGTGGAACAGATTTTGGGAAGGCACAAAGATGATCCAGAGTTCCAGGAGTTTCTGCAGGCGCATGACAAGTCGCGTACCTTGTGGGGTAACGATTTGGGTGTAAATAGCAAGCAGGAGGATGAAGAGGAGCAAGAAGAACCACCAGCTGGAAGGGATGACAGCGGGGTAGATGCAGATGCAGGGGATGATGATGTTGCCGATGAGGATGTGGAAGATGATGAAGAAGACTCTGGTAAACTGGCAGAGAAGCCCATCAGCGATCTAGAGTACATGAAATCCCTTATGGCCACCAAATCGGGGGATAGCACCGCAAAGAAATCCAAACCCAAGGCGGATAAATCTAACCTGGAGTTGTTTACAATCAAAATTCAGAATGTGCCCTACACCACGAAACGTCAAGAAGTGCTGAAGTTTTTCAAGCCGCTTAAACCCTACTCCGTCCGACTGCCTACCAATGTTCACGGGTTCTGCTATGTGGGCTTTAAAACGGAAAAAGACATGGCCAAGGGTATGCTCAAAAACAAGAGCTTTATCAAGGGCAAGCAGGTGTTCTTTACCGACTTTACCGAACAGAACAAGTTGACTAAGGCGATCAAGAGTGGAAAACAAGTAGCACCAGTCGCCGCACGTGCCGGCAATGCAAAGTGGAAGCAGCAACAGGAAAGTTTGTCCAAAGAAGATAACATTTCCGAGTCTGGCAGAATATTCTTCCGGAATCTGGCTTACACCACCACAGAAGAGGAGCTGCGCAAGGTCTTTGAACAATTTGGTCCCGTGGTAGAGGTTAATCTGCCGCTAGACAAACTCACTCGGAGAATTAAGGGCTTTGGAACTGTTACGTACATGATGCCAGAGCACGCATTAAAGGCTTTTAATACTCTAGATGGCACGGATTTCCAAGGACGTCTCTTGCACCTGCTCCCTGGCAAGGATATTGAAAAAAATGCACAAGAGGATTTGGATGAAAACGATGCCAGTCTCTCTTTCAAAGAAAAGAAGGCATTAAAACTGAAGAAGAACGCACAGAAACCCATTGGCTGGAATACACTGTTTCTAGGTGCCAATGCTGTTGCGGAAATTCTATCCAAGCAATTCAAGACATCTAAGGAACGGATCCTGGACACCAATGACGGTGGCAGTGGAGCCGCTGTTCGTCTGGCCTTAGGAGAAACCCAAATCGTCAACGAGATGAAGCGTTTCCTGGAGGAAGAAGGCGTTCGGCTGAATGCATTCGATCAGCCTGCAAAGAAGCGCTCCAATACTGTGATACTGGCTAAGAATTTGCCGGCGTCCACCGAACCTTCGGAACTAACGCCCATCTTCAGTCCTTTTGGTCCGATTGGCAGAATTGTGCTGCCTCCCAGTGGGGTAACTGCACTCATCGAGTACTGTGATCCCTTTGAGGCAAGGCAAGCTTTCAAGAAGTTGGCCTATAGCAAGTTCAAAAATGTCCCACTCTTTTTAGAGTGGGCTCCCGATCAGGTATTTACCAGGACTCTTAGTGGAGAGCCAGTGATTCCCAAATCGGAACCAGAACCCAAGGAAGAAGTTAAGCAAGAGGAGAAGCATGAAATTGAGGAAGTGAAAGAGGAGAACGATGATCCTAGAGCAGAGGATGCGGATGATGAGCCCGAACCAAATACCACACTCTTCCTGCGCAATCTTAACTTCAAGACCGTGAAGGAAACTGTTGAAAAGCACTTCCAGCACTTGGGTAGCATACACACCGTGGAGATAGCCAAACGAAGAGATCCCGAAAATCCTCGGAACTTTAAGTCCCTGGGCTACGGCTTTATCCAGTTCAAGAAGTCATCAGTAGCAGAGCATGCTCTTAAGAACTTGCAGCTCACGCACATCGATGGCAATCCTGTGGAACTTAAGCGCAGCGATCGGGTACTCAAGTAAGTCGTTGGATAAAAATCGCAGTATCCAGGTCACTAAAAGACTAATCATTTCCAGGACTCAAGACAATGAGGGAGCCCAGCGTCGGCTGGCCTCGCAGAAGAAGCAAACTGGTACGAAAATCTTGGTGCGGAATATTCCCTTCCAGGCGCAATACCGCGAAGTTCGCGACATATTTAAGTGAGTAGTGATCATACCTGTTAAGAAGATCTTGATACTATTTCTAATTCGGTTTTCCAGGGCCTTTGGCGAGCTTCGTTCTTTACGTATTCCCAAAAAGGCTACAAACGGCGAGGAGGCGCATCGTGGTTTCGGTTTTGTTGACTACGTATCTAAGGCGGAGGCCAAACGGGCGTTCGACGCCCTGAGCGCTAGTACGCATCTGTACGGTCGTCGTTTGGTCCTCGAGTGGAGCGCCAACGATGACAACCAGGACGTAGAAGAGCTGCGCAAGCGGACGGCTGCGAAATTCGGTGACAGTCAGGCAGCAGCGGCGGCCAAACGCAGCAGGAAATCCTTCTTCGATGTAGAGTCCAGTCTCCAGCCGAATCAAGATGAGGACGAGGACGAAGACGAGAAGTAATCTTAAGCTTAAAGTTTGATTTGATTTGATGTATAAAGTACAAGTTATAATACAAACAAATTATAATTTTATAAAATCGAAACTAAAAACAGTTTTCGTTTAAACAATCCGGCGATAACACTAGCCGAGTCTCGATAGCAATTTCTAAATAGAATATATTTTATTTTACGCTTCTGTTTATATAAAACCTAAATAATTAATATAAAACAAGACGAAAAAAAAACAGAATTTTATAAGCAAACACATACATCGTACATCGTATATCAATCATTGATCAGCCAAAAAAACTCGCTACCTCACTTTAGTAAATTATAGTACTAGTAATAGTAATTAATTATATATAGGTTGGTATATACGTCTCTAGATATATACGTGTAATATTGAAAATATTTGCAATTGTCTGCTTTCCTTTTGTCTTTTGCAATAGTTGCAGTAAGCAAAAGGTCGCATCTAAACGTAAAACATACAGTCTACAGATCTACGGAAATATCTGTAATACATGGGAATAATATTTAGTAAGCGGAGGAGCAGCTATTTAGTGTTAGACACTTGATCATCCCAGGTGTGTGTTGTTGATGTGTGTAATGCGTGTGTTAGCCCGCCATTGAGCAGATTTGTTCACATCCCTGGATCCTTTCACAGATCCTAGGGCTTCCGTATTCCTCGCCAGATTTTTAGTTTCAGTTTCGGTTTCTGGTATATACAATTGGCAGCGCAGGTGTTTTGAAGTGTTTTAGGTGTTTTTTTTTAGGCGAATTCCAAGCATTTTCAAGGTGTTATTCAGGCATTTATCGGAGCTTTAAGGTGTTTTTGTGTATCATTTGTGCAGGCATGTGGGGGCGTGGTGTATGCGTTGGCTATCCATCGAATTTCTTTCGAATTACCGCTATTGCTTAGTAAAAAAAATATATAATTTATGTATATATATATAAATATATATATATATTCCATATGTATATCTGTGCAGGCGGCCTTCTGGGTCCTAATCCTTCTTGATGCGTGCCTGCAGGAAGCAGTAGAGGATTCCGGCCTGGGCCATCACGTCAACAGTGCTAGCCGCCAGGGGATCTTTCTGCTTCACCTGCGTTTGTCCTGGCCTCAGCAAGGTGGGCCCAAAAACCATGGCCAGATTGTGCAGCGACATCTTGTTGTCCGCCTCCTTTTCGTGGACCCTATAAGTAAGGACAAATGACATCAATAAAAAAGACGAAGCTCAGTACACACACACGAAAACCCACCTAATTAGATGATCTAGAATGGAGGTGATGGAGGCCTTGTTGGCCTGCGGTAGCTCCTCAAAAACTTTGAGCAGCTCGTTGATTCGCGTGGTTTCGTTGTTGTTGCTAAAGGCGCTGAATGTGTCAAAGAATCTTGGATACAGTTGATCTGTAAATAGGGCTTCGGGCAGCTCCCTTAAGAAAGTCTTCAAAATGCCAGTGACCGAATGGATGTCGACCTCGCGTAACAGCTGCTCTGCCTCGTAAGAATCTGAAAGAAAGCAGATTTTTAAAGGCAATTACATTAAGTGCCCTTAAAGCCAACTACATACCCGACTCAAAGGCCTTTTTGAGCTTGGCCAAATCAGAGGCGGAACCGCTGACACGATAGCAACCAACCTCCAGCATCCCCCGTCGCTCCACCTCCCGAATGCAGGCACTGATGATGAACGGAATGTCGCGTTTTTCGCGTCTAAACATAATCAAAATGCACATAAGTAAGCTGATGAATTTATATGGTTTTTTAGGTATAGACTCACTTTAATACTTGACTCATTTTGGCACCGAATAGGGCTCCTGGCTTTGTGGTTGCGCGGCAGAGCTCTCCGGGAACGAACCGGAAGTTACAGCCGAGCTCCAAGGTCTCACTAAGCTTTATTGTTCGCGGCTGCGTGGTTTCCGTAAGCCAACTGAGGCTCAACTGTGGTACCAAAATATGGAATATTAAAGTAAAATCGATTTATTGCAGTGGTTAGTTAACCCACCTTGAGTATGTGCTTGGCTTTAAGGAGCGGTCGTTCCTTGGCCTCATAAAGAAGAATGCGGACATTTTGGCTGCCCTCCAGTTCTAGCATAAAGCTCTCGTTCCACAACGGCGTTTGGCTGCGACACACCATCTTGGTGGTGGCCTTGCGGAAATAGTGGCCGTAGGAGTCCACCTCGATGCAGATGTACAAGTCGGACGCCTGTTCCAATCCGCTCAATCCCTGGACACCCATGTGCAGGTCTCCAACCAGCAGGCTCTCGTCGTTGGTGTTGCGCATCAAATACGAACCCATTTCAGTCTTCATGCCCTTCTGCATGGCTACAATGAAGGCGGTGACCTCCAGTGAATTGATAGTATTGGCTCCAGGCAGGTTGCACTTTTGCTAAACAAATTTATAAATGTACATATTTGAATCCAATTTAATGAAAACAAACAATCAGATGGAAACACTCACCTTTAGCGACGTAATCGAGTCGATCCACTGCGTCCGCTCAAAATCTGAGCTGAGGAAGAAGGTCATGGTCTTGTTATTAGCTTTGTTGCCCATTCGCAGCACCAAATTTGGCGTGGCCAACACCAGCTGTGACTCCAGATCGGCCAGTTTGCGGCGATACTTGTCCCCGGAACGGACTCCTCCGCCACCACTGTTGGCCACCTCCATAGCTAATTGATCTCGAACAGAGCGCAAATTGCGTTTCACTTGCGAAATGTTCGCGGGACTAGATTCCTTGAGCTCTCCCGCAGGATCAGCCTCCTCGTAAATGGATATGTCCTTCAGCGGAATGAACCACTTGAGCTCATAGTCGATGCGATCACGCCCCAGCGCCTTGTACTTGGCGCACGCAATCACATCATTGAAAAGGAAGAGATGCCGCAGCTTGCGATGCCCATCGACCAGCTCCACGATGAACGAATTGCGCACCATGCGTCTCAAATTCCGATTAGATTCGCTGGGCAGCCGCTGACTAACCACATTGAACTGGTTAAGGAACATCTGGATGATCTTCTGCGCCTGTCGCAACGGCTGGTGATCCGGATGGGCATTAGGCGTTTCGCGCAGCAAATCGTTGAAGACCAACGCATTGATCTGCACCCGCGCCACTGGTTTGTGCAGCAGATCCTCGAGCGTTAGCGATTGCTCCGTTTGCAGATTAACCACAATTGTCGAGACGATCTTCTTGAACTGTGGATTATTCGCACTGCACTTCTTCACCGTATCAATGGCGTTCTTGTAGTTGTGCAAAAAGGCGCTGTATAGGTCGAACGTCTCCGCCAGTCGACGAAATGGCTCGCCGATCAGCACATCGCCACCTTCGTGGGACACAATGGTCTTCAGGTCGGACAGGAAGCCGGTGTGGAGATCATAAAGCTCGTCGATCTTAAAGAAGATCGTGTTCTCCTCCTCCTCCTTGATCACAGGCTGCGAAGTATTCAGGGTCGCGTGGATGGCCTTCTTATACTGCATTGGGAAGAAATTTCCATTAGTCACTTTAGTCACCTTACACGACTTAACTTAAGTTTGATAACTTACCTGCATCATTTTATTGAGGCACTCCACGTAGATCGTCTCGCTCTGAATAATTGAGCTGAGTATGGATCGTATTTTGGCACCTCGGGCGTTTCCGCAGACCTAAGAAACGGAAAAACAAACGGCTTGGATGAGATGAGAGGTTTTGGGAGTGGCTTATGTACACACAAAACATGGATGCGGGCAAAGTGACTACAACCCTTTCAAACCAAGGCTAAAATATATTACAAATGGCTAAAATGGCATAGAATAACCTTGCAAATCGGAAAGCCGTGGTCATAACAAGTGTTTCTAAAATAAAGTTAACTTAGGTAACAATAACTAAACGGCTTTGTGATATTGCAAGGCTATGTTAGCGCTGAAACCAAACCGAAATCTGGAATGAAATGGATGAGACAGAGATGGGGATACGCTGATCGCTGCACAATAAATGGGAGGAAACAGGACGCAACTATAAGGGTATATAGTTTTTGGGATCGTGTGCATATATACAATTGTACAGAACAAAACAAAACAATGGATGTACACGACAGACAGAACTCAAGAAGGGAACACACGCATTACTCGTATAAATAAAAAAAAAAGCGCATTCAAAAGCAATAGCCATACAGATTATGTACACAGTATATATATTATATATATATACAGAAATAAATGATCTATGAAGTGGATGCTAGTGACGGGAAGATCGTAAGAAGCATCCACTATATGTAAGTGCAATGCTACAATATGATAAGCTATGGCAGCTATATAATCCTGATCCGGTACTCACAAGTATCGCTGAAACTAAGTTCTGTTGGGAGAAGAGAGCAGAAACGAAAAATCTTGGTTAGTACGGTATTAGTATATAAGGTTTAGATCTTAATTTGTAAGTGGTTATGAATTTCGAATGGGGGTTCTGGCCAACGAAAGTGTAAAAATAAAAATATGTTTATTAGGAAAGTTTATAGTAATGATCCTAAATATTCTTTCTGTTTAGTTAAGATTTTGAACTTATGATTCAGCTAGGGAACTGCTCGTAACTGTTATGATTAACAAAATAAGTCAGTAATTTATGTATCTTTTATATATAGAAAATGAGTCCTAAACAATCTGAACATAATGCCTATACTCCCCTTACTTATTTCGATTTAGGTTTCTGAGATTCTACTCCCTAGGAAAGCGCATGCAATTTGAATTTAATTAGCGATTACAAAAAATATGTTAAGTGCCGGAGCGTGCGCTTAGTCATCTTAGTCATCAGGAATTACATCAACCCTAGTCTATAAGTTAGCTTTTAGCTTGGGTATTGGAAGTTACGAATCTAATATATTGGGAAGATTCTTTAGCCACAACAAATATCTACGTTGATTTGGCTGGGAGTGGTATATGCTGCTTTGGCACTGAATAACCAGATGATGCGCCTGCCTGTGTAATGACAACGAACCTTGCGAAGTGCTCCCGGCGTAGTTTGTGACGTGGTCTGCTCGTCGTGCGAAATTGTGCGCAGTATGGGCGGGCCTTCGTACTCCCCGTCGCTGTCCAGCGAACTTGAGCGCGTCTCATTGCTCTGTCTGTAAAATATATCAATATGTAACAAATTCACAGATTACTCTATAGCCTGGACTCACTGTAGAAAGTAGTCGATATTGACGTAGTTGGAGGTCCTGCCTGGAGATTCGGGATCCGCCACATTGGCCAAGGGCAAAGTGCTGCTGCCGGGCGTCGACAAGTCATCGCGGCTGGAGGAGGAACCGGTGCGTCCGGGCTTGATGAACACGTATTCCCCGTCGCCGTTGTCCAGCGGCACACTATCATAGTAAGGCTCATTATCCGCTGCAGTTCCTCCGGCTGTCGCCGCTTGCTGGGAAGCCGCTGCCGCCTTGGCGCTATCCGAACTCAGTGATGATACGCTCTCGTAGCTCTTGATCTATGCGGGATGACAACAGATTCATTAGTTAGATATTATTCATGTGAAAGGAACAACTCCAACACGTACCACCTCTGATATGCCTTGTGAAGCCAGCGATTCCTTGGAGCCCACACTTCGCTGGTTCGTCCCTGATCCTCCCGATCCCTCCGCATCGCTAGCCTGCAGGCAAGTGCGTGACTTCTTCTCCAGACTGCTAGTGGAACTGCTGTCCGCCGTTGCCAGTTTTGCAGTTTTGTTTAGGCTTCCAGTGGGCGAAGCACCCACACCCGTACGTCCTGGAGTTAATGATCGTCCGGGTGTGGAGGCAGTGCGCCCTAAGCTGCCACCGCCTGAGGGCGACGAGTCGTTTCTCTTCGCCTGCTCCAGACCATCTGTCTTGCCCACCATCTTGCGACCGAGCTCCTCCATCAGTTCGGGATTGTTTACATTCACAAATTTTCCCAGCTCCGGTGTGGTTTTCCGATTCGCCGCATACTTGGAGTCTAGGTTCTCAGATGACTTTTGGCGCAATATGTCCGAGGGCTTGATATTTCGCTCCAGCGAATTGCCCGGACTGTCGGAAGATAGGCTGCCGCCGGAACTGCTTGGCAGGGGCATCGTGCTGCCCACGAATGGAGTGTCTCTTTTGGGCGAGGACGACAGCTGCTGGCTGGGAATGGTTGGCGGCTCCACGCGCCGAATGTTCTTTGGTGGAGGTCTGCAATGAATGCAAAAAGGAGAGATATTAGTAAGGGTAACTACTACCTAGACATAGTTCATAGCTCATAGTTCACTCACCTGGGTGGCATTTTCTTTTTGGCCTCCACATGGGCAGCGTACGAGGTGAGCGATGGCGACAGCGGAGGAGCAGTGGCTTCCGCATAGCGAGCGAATGTGGAGGGCGGCGTGGGTTGCTGTGGCTGTGTGTCATTGACTCCCGATGACGAGATTGCTCCATCGTCAACTTCTTTGTCTTTGGCCTCCTTGACCTGGATGACGGTGACATATTGCGATGTGGACTTGCGCAGCGGCTGTTTCGTGGATGTTGATGTGGACGAATCCTTGTCGGCTTCGCCCCCGCCTGATCCTGATCCCGCTGCTGAGCTCACCGCTCCATTATCTGGCTGCGCTTTTATAGAGGCTGCCAGTTCTGTGATGCACTGCTGTAGGGCTCCATTGGTGTCCTTCTCGTTGCCACTGTCCTTGTCTCGGTCCTCCCGCTCGAAACTCAGCTCCGCTATCCTCTTGTTTGCCCCTGTGGCCGGTGCAGAGTGGAGTGGACCGCTTGCCGGCCCTGTGCCTGTGCCACTCCCACTCCCACTACTCACGGCATTTGTGTGTGCTGGGTACTTGTTGTCCGTGTTCAGCGACAGACGGTCCTTTTCCTTGCCGCCCGGTGAAGTGGACGTCTCGCGCAGATTTAAACTGGATTTCTGTACATAGAAAGAAGAAGACAGAGAGGTCAAGTGAGCAAATCAATTCAGCGATCTTTGACCCAATCAGTAGCAATGTTAATGTAACTCAATTAAGCCAGTGGGTCCCAATGAATGAATTTACTTTTCAGAAGACTCCACATGACTGAAAACGATAATAACTTAAAAACTAACTTTTATTATATAGACTCTACTGATCCCTTGACTTGATTTGCTTACTATATATATCAGTTGTCATTAGAAAAGTTCCCAAAACAATAAACTAAATCAAATTCGAATCCTTTAAAACTATCCTCATATCATATTAAATGAAATAGCATTCCTTCTGAGTTAGAAATTAACCTTTTGATTACGCGGAGAGATTTTAATTATAGAAAAGAAGACCAAAAAAGTAAGCCAATAATTAGCATATGCAAATCAAACACGTTGAGAGGAGAAATCGGAAACAATTCTTTGATTGCAGAACCAAAACGAGAGTAGGCGAGGGCGATGGCAAGATTCTGGCCAATTTCCCCGGCCAAGTGCTAATTAAGCTGGCTCTAATCCCAAAGCAAATACCCACAAAAGGGCGCCAACGCCTCTGCAAACTATGTACCATTTTTTGTAGCATTTCATTTGTCCATTTTTATTTTATTTTTTTTGTTTTTTTGTCGAGACTCCAAGCACGTAGCGCATTTCATTTCGTTTAATTTCATTCCGATTCGGCCGTTTTGGCCGTTTCTCCACTTTAAATGGCTAAAAACCTACAAACTTGGCTCAAACTCAAAATGCGTGCGTGCGTTGGATCTTTCTTCTTTTCATTTCTTTTCTCTCCTCATGTCTATGTCTCTTCTTTCCACACAATTTTTGGGCTTTGAAAAAGTGAAAACTCCACCGGGTAAGCAGAAACAAACAAATAAATGAAATGAAAAAGAAGAAAAATAAGAAGAAAATACAAAATAAATAAATAAATAAAGAGAGCAGCGACCAGACAACGCTCCTATTACCAAAAGTGAAAAATTGCCAACCTAGTTGGGTAGCTGGATGCCCAAGTATCCAAGTGGGAGGTGGCCAAAATGGCTGGCTAGACTTTGGATGTGACCAAGCGGAGCGATGAAGAAAGCGTGCCCAAGTGCGACTCAAGGCAACGAAGGTCGATGGCTACTTGGCCAGAGCTTCTGCACTGGGAGAACAAGTTAAGTTCGTTTTTAAGGAAGATTCATTTTGAATTTCAGACTTTTATAGTCTCAGAAGTAATCTTGAATTAAAGTTCACCTAAATTATTAATTAATTACCAGTTAAAGTAGGAAATATGTTTATATTTATTCCCACAAAATATAAAACTCTCGCTTTTTTCTCTCTGCATTGATACAAATACTTAGCATATTGTTCAATTTGCAGGCACTTGGGGTCATAGGCAGCTTATCAGAGCCGCATGTTCTCATGGATGTGCGGGTGAGTAATGGCAGCTTAACCCCTCACAGACACTTGTCCTCCGTATGGGACAGGCATGCCTCAGCCGATGTCACCGATAAAACAATAAATGCTATAACAAGACAACTTGACTTGAAACCCCTATAAGTATAAATCATATTTATGTTTCCTTAACTTAGAAACTAATAAGCCTAAACCTTAGATCTAAATTCATGAATCCTTTATTCAGAACCTAAGATACATATTTATAGCGCAGAGAAAGAGTAGACCCCATGCTAATGAGTGTTAATTGAAGCAGCACTCGTCGTGTTTATGACACAATAGTTATTTCCAGAGAATCATGATTCAAAGTATTCAAAGTTTTGGAATATCGTTTCTGTGACAGCCGCCTTGCTCTGCATACATTACATGTGTAATGCTGATAAAGCCTCTATTGGCCATTAAATCACCAGCTGACTCTATCGGAAGTTTTTCAATCCCGCAAATTTAGAACAGCTGTTCCCCCTGTTAGTCAACTGCAAAGTTTTTCAACTTTGTACGGGCTGCTCTAATCGCAATCTCCTGGCCAAATGCCGCCCGCATGTAAAGCCCCTTTCTCTATCCCCTTCCCCATGCACAGGCCCTATTGATATGGATTGCAGCTTATCAGCGGACACATTGTGCGTCGCTCACGCCTTTTTCAAACGCCCGACGCTCTTTTTTTCCTTCTGTTTGTTCACAGCTAAGATCACAAATATAGCACCCACAGTTTATAGTGACTGTTATACATATGAAACCACAAAAACCACAGTTCGATAAGGGCAATAAACCTTTTAAATGCATGCTGCTATTTATCAGTTTGGAATTTATATCTCAGAAAGTATTAAGGTCTACAGTAAGTGCAATCTCTAAATCAGATCTCTGTTTCTATTATCCTGACCCCAACTGTTATTTGTAAATCTAAAAAAGCGTATATAATCTAAGGGATTATCCCTTTCCTAAAAAAAATACCAATCATGCAGGATTAGGTTCTATATAAATTAGTTTGTAAAACTTTCACTGAAATCTTTTTCGATTTATTGCCAGCCCAAACAATTTGCTTTTTGCCAAGTGCTATTGCTTAATTTCTTGGCTAAACGTATATATATATATATATATATATATATATATATATATATATAAATATGTAGCATATATAGACATAGCAGGCCCAAGATATAGATATAGCCATGTCTACGTGTGTGCGCTTTGTTATATGGCATTTTGCGATAAGTTTTTATTGATTTCGACTTGTGATAATATAACAACAATTGTTGCAGCTTTCGGATGTTGGTTGTTGTTGTTGCTGTTGCTTTTTCGATTTAAGTTTCTTTATATTAATTGCAGGGTATACATATGGTATAGTTAGGTCTGTGGGTTGTTGAGTTCTTAACCGATTACGCACCCCTCTGGACCATAATTTGAATTTCTCTTTAAAGGAAGCCATGCTCCCGAATCAGCGCCACTTTGTTGTCTTATTTTGTTTTTTTTTTTGTTTGTTTTTTTTTCTCACTCCAAGGGAGTGACCCTATGTAATCTCGAGGGTGGAAGGAAAGGGGTGGGCCGACGACTTAGTGACGATGACTAGGCGACCACGAAACTTGAGTCAACCGAAAACACGTTAATAAACACACACATACACACGCACGCTCGCGCGGAAAAACGGAAGACGGAGCTCTATGAATGCGAACGCAAAAAAAAAAAAAAATTATTAATATTTTTACGTAATTTTTTGTTATTGTTTTTGCCCTCCGTGTTTTGCAGGTGTTTAATTGGGCTTTTGTTCTGGCGGTTTTTCGTTATTTCTCTCGGTTGTAAACGGCAACGCACAACAGCGAATCGGGATATATCGAATATGTTCACTTATTCCGCACAGATAGTCATTATATTTGAATATTATATATATATATTCGACGCGTATCCGGATCCCTCCGTTTGTCCCGTCACTGTTATTCACCCAAAACTATACTGGCGACAATATACGACAATATATGCAGCGACGCCAGCAGCAACGCGAAAAACCTAAAGAAAATAATACCCACACACCCACACACACACACTCCGCTTTCAGAATAAAAAGTGCCTATGGTGTGGGTAGATAAGGGCCCGGTCAGAGATATCGGAGCGAGTGCTATAAGTGGCAGAGCCCACGGACATACGCACAGGCCTACAGTCCAACTTTCGTAACCCGAACAGATCGAAAACTCCTTTTGATTAACTGAGCTGCAGGCTCAAGGAAGGCAAAATGTAGTTTGATCCTCTACTTAAAATAACTCTCTACAGCAGTAGTCCCTCCAATCAAAGGTTATTATTCAAAAAATAACAAATCCCTGACATTTGGTTGTTCTTGCTATCGAAGTATGACTGATCTTATACAGGGTCACAGAGAAAGCAGCTCAGCTGTATGACCCAAAAGCTAATTCTGATCTTGAAAGACTCCGAATTTTTTATCTAAAGTCAAGTCAAGGGGCTTGAAAGGCTTTAAAAACTAAAATCTCGAATAGACTTTCTTTTTCCAAAAACTATGAACTAGTTCACTATCGATAATTTTAAACACTCCGCTCTATAAATTTCTACATTAGCTTCACTGACCTCCGTTCCTCCGCTCTCCCCTCATTTCTGATAAGCAGGCAATGACATTTGCAAAAGAAATCGAAGCCGAAAGAACAACTCACTACATAAGGCTGAGCGCCTGGTAGTATAACCCCAGCCCTTCCCGATCGAAACAGAGAAGCTATATAGGCTCAAGTTTATACCCGAGAGGATGGGGAAGGTTTTCAGTGAGTTCACTCGGGAACACAAATTCGAAATCCCAGAACAGTAGTTCTTATATCACATGAAAGATCTTTATAAAGTGATATTAAAAAGGGTTTTCAATTCAATCCTTAAACCTAAAACGCATCATCATAACTTTATCACCAACGATGAAAGCTTTTAATAAACATAGTTTAGTATAGTTTAAGTATGACCGATAATTCCTTAAATTCCTTAAATAACCCCTAACTAGTTAGTCAACGAAGCTTATATACTCACAAACTCTTTGTCCACATTGGTGGTGCTTCCTGGCGGCGTTCCATTGGTGGTGTTGCTGTTGCCATTGTTGGTGCTACCGCTACTGCCGCTGGCGGCCTCAAAGAGAGCCGTTGGATCCCCGCCTGAGGCGCGGTACTTTTCCACATCGGACAGCAGACGCTCCAGGTACTCCACATAGAGGGTCTCCTGTTCGAGCTCCTTGCTAAGCTCAAGGATACGCAGCTTGTGCCGCTCGAGGCTGGCCCGCACATCCTGTTCCCAGGCGTCGGATAGTGAGCTCTGCGGAAAGCGCTGCATCCACAGGCGCTGGAAGTCGTCGAAGACGCTCATGGTGCCCGGAGATCCTCCTTTGGCTGCTGCTCCTCCTTTAGTTCGCTGGCTTTCGTTCACTGGTTCCTCACTCCAAAGATGCGGTTGACGATGATGCTATATTAATGATGATGATGATTCTTCGAGATGATGACGAAGAGAGGGCGAGGTTGCCTTTTATGTAACGACGAGCACCAGTTGTGCGTTGTCGCCTTCACCGCCTGCAAGAGTGTGTGTGTGTGTGTGTTTGAGTTTCGTGTCTGCACTGAATTTGTATCTGTATCTGTATCTGCCTCTTATTTTTATTCTGTGTGCGTCACAGTTTCAGACTCGAAATCTGGATTATCCTTGCGTGTGGGCAGCCGCACAGCCAAGAGCCATAACAACAGCAACGAGAGCACCTCAATGAGGAGAGTTCTTTCAGGGCCCTTTGTCTTACGGTGAAAAACTCAGGGCTGTTTGGACTTTGAAGTACAAATCAGTAACTCTAATTATACGAGTACCTAGTAATCAGCATGCCCTTTATGATCAATATATTGAAAAGATTTGAATGCTTAGAACTTTCATTCTTTGAATATACTGGAGAAATGCTGGGGAGTATGCTGGGGAGTATCCATGAAATTAATGCTAATATTTATATATTGGATTTATTTTCCTCTTTTTTAAAAGATATCAGCAACGATGCACGCTGTTACATTTTTATGTTTGAAATATTATACTGTTATAAGACGTCATGAAACAACAGATATATACCAGTTTGAATATTTACATTATTTATCGTGTAAGGTTTATCTTTATTGGCGCTCGACGATTGCCAGACAATTAACCCTTGGAGGGCTTAATGAAAATAATTAAAAAAAAAGACGGAAATCTTGAAGTTTTTTGTAGCAAAAGTTTTATATATTAAAAACTTTCATTGGATTTCGAATTCGAAAAGAACAGTTCCTAATTTAAACAAATTCCCAATTGGATTTCGAGTTCAAAATTAGCGGTTAAATAACCGGTTGCACTTGCACTTGTATATTATTTTGTGGTTGTTGTGGTTTTTGTTGTTGTTTTTCCAGTTGCAGATGCTCTTGTTGTTGTTGTGCAGTTGCCCTTTCAAATTGCATTTGTATGTGTGCGTGTTTTGATGCTGCCTCGAAACTTGCTTGTTTCTTTTTTTTTGCATTTTAACCAAGGCCAAATTTATTTTTCTTGTTTCTTGTTATTGCAATATTTTTTGGAGGCGCAGACGCAATGAATTTTCTTTGAGACTTTCTCGTTTTTCGGTTTTTATCAAAACGACAACAAAAGCGTAGCAGCCACACACACACACAGAGATCAGCACATACACAGACATGGGCAAAGAGAGAGATTCCTTTAACAATTGTTGTTGTTGTTAGTTTTTGTGTTTTTCTCCCCTTCCACTTCTTTCTCTGTTTCTTCTTCTCATATTTGAGAGAGACAAATTCAGTGGGCGTTGCAGCCACAAAATAAAATAAAATGCAAAAAAAACACTGCACTAAAATAATATTTCCTTTCACAGCACTAACACTTGCACAGTTATCCTTGTGTTATCTTTTACCGTTTGCCATTCCAATAAGATTTCGCTTAGAAAAAAAACTACATATATATTTCACTCTTGGGCAAACACACAAACACATTTGCATATGTGCAGCATTAACGGGTTGGTGTGCGTGAAAACTCGGCTTTGGTTTTTGTTGCGCTTTCAATTCGGATTTCCTAGACGGTTTCCCAACCGAACCTTACGTTTCATTTTCCGCCACGATTTTCATTCATTATTTTTACGATTTACTTTCACATTGATTTGATATTTAACATATATACACTGCACATATATATCCCAGCCGATTTTACAAAAAAAAAACGATTTCGTGTTGGCGATTCGAAGCGAGTGAGACCGTTTGTGTTAAAGCAATAAATCTACTTACCTGACGTTAATACTACAAAATTACCATTTACAATATATTTAAGATTAACTAAGCCTTAATTGTTTTTTTTCTATTGAAACAGTTTTAATTCCGTAAATTACTATTATTATGCTCTAACTTTGGTTTCGCAATTTCTTAAACCGAAATACCATTTTCAGTATTAGTAGTATTAATACTGTTTGGTGTTGCCAGATTCGCCTTCAACGGTTATTTATTTTAAACGTCAATTTAAAAAATGATAATCAACGAGAGAAATCCCCAAAGATATATCAAAGCTATATTTATTTGCCAAGAACAAGGCTAAAGTCCAGCAGACTTGTTTCTTTATCGAGACCTGTTATTACTCATTGATATTAATTAGTTTTGCCTGCACGTCCCCCTATTTTTAGCCAAGAAAAACATTCCAGATTGACCTTAAATCGGCTTATCGCCACCTGCCAGATAAAATAATATAATATACAATTAAGTCGCGACTTCTGATTTCGTTTCTTTGGTTTTTGCCGGCGGCCTCTTAGTCAGCCGAAACTTTCTATTTCTGACGTAGCACAGATTTGGATACGGCTATATGGCTATACGGATTTGAAAAGAAGCACATGGATATGATGGGCGTTGGGTTGTCTTATCACCAATTGAAAACCCAGATAACAGGATGGATATATAAGGCTCTCGATGCCGTCCGATGGCCATTTAATTAATTCCGGTGTCGGCGCTTTCGCTGTCTTATTTTATTACTTGTTTCAATTTAATTTAAGTTCGTAGTCTTAAGGATACACACACACAAAATGTCGTAAGTATTTTCTTAGTTCAGAAATTGTCCAAAACTCAGTTGAGGGATATGAACCTTTGATCATGTGGTAACGCTGATATCTATTTATCGGTTTCTTCCTTATTAAATACAAAAACCGTTACAATATATATGCAAGATTAAGACTATAAGTATCAGAGCACTTTTTTTCCTGTGTAATAATGGAATTTTTAAGACCTTTTGGTCGCAGCACCCTTTGGGATGTGAGTCCGGAATCTCGAATCCGTTGGTAAATATTAGATATATACCATGTTGTATGGGGAGCTGTTCGACGCCTTTGGTGACCTATTAGTCGGGTACGGTGACCTATTAGATGGCAAGTGTCCCACCCGATAAGATCGCACTTACCAACTGAAGTATCCTCCATTTCGGTGGCACTAATACCCTGTCGATCCGTAACCCTTTTTTAGATGCTGCAAGAAGTACGCCGTTTGCTGGATAATCCTCGTGGTGGCTGCAGTCGGCGTGACCTTGGGCCTGGTCTTCGGACTCCGGGGCAAAGCGGAGGAGCCGCGTCGCATGGGCGCCGTAGCCTCGAACGGCGTGGGCTGTGCCGAGATAGGTGGCACGATGCTGGACATCGGAGGATCGGCGGCGGATGCGGCCATTGCCACAATGCTGTGCGAGGGCATTATGTTGCCCCACAGCCTAGGCGTGGGTGGTGGCTTTGTGGCCACCATTTATTCCAAAGAGACTGGCTTCATAGAGACTCTAATTGCCCGGGAAACTGCTCCCGCAGCGGCCACCCAAGACATGTTCGTCGGAAAAGAAATTACCGGTGCACTATCCTGCGCAGTTCCCGCCGAGATCTATGGTTACTCCAAGCTGCATCATAAATACGGCCGGCTGCCCTGGCGAACCCTCTTCCAGCCCAGCATTGATCTCTGTCGACATGGCATATTGGTCTCCAGATATCTGGCCGGAGTTCTTCAACGTGAGGAGGAGCGCATCAGGAACGAACCGTCTATGGCCGAAATCTTCATCAATCCGAAAACGGATGAGGTCTACAAACAGGGTGAGATTATGTACCGACACACATTGGCTGAAACCTTGGAAATCATCGCGGATGAGGGCGCCGATGTCGTTTATCGCGGCGGCAGAGTGGGCAGGAAATTGGTCGAGGACATCCAGGCAATGGGCGGCATCATTACCGAGGATGATCTAAAGAACTACGAGTAAGTCCATAACTATTCCTTACCTGGAGAGCCCATTGAAATCTTTTCATTTCTTATTCTCCAACTTTTCCAGTGTTCGTTGGGAATTGCCGCTGCACTCCCACTTCAATGGAGGATACGAGCTGTTCACCTCGCCCCTGCCCACCAGTGGTGCTGTGTTGACCTTTATCCTGAACGTGATGGAACCGCTGTACACGGTCAATACGGACAAATACTGGCAGCGATTGATCGAGACCTTCAAGCACGCCTATGGCCATCGCACCAATTTGGGCGATATCCATTATGAACCAGATGTTCAAGACATCTACGAGAAACTCATCGATCCGAACTTTGCAGCTGAGATCCGTGAACTGATCCTGGACGACAGAACCTTCGAGGATATGGCATACTATGGAGCCAACTTTGCCAACGAAGAGGATCATGGTACAGCACACATTTCCGTTTTGGCACCCAACGGAGATGCTATTTCGGTGACCAGTACAATCAATAGCCATTTGGGAGCTAAAGTGAGATCCCGCCAAACGGGCTTCATCCTAAACGACGAGATGGACGACTTCAGTACGCCAGGGAAGGTTAATACGTACGGGATTCCAGCCAGTCCAGCGAACTTCATTAAGCCAGGCAAACGGCCTATGTCCTCAACGTGTCCCAGCATCGTTCTGGATACCCATGGCAATGTCAAATTGATTGTGGGTGGAGCTGGTGGCTCCAAGATCACCACCTCGGTGGCCCAGACCATCCTTAGATATTTTGTGCTCAACGAACCCATTGAGAAGGCTGTTAACTCGGGTAGATTGCACCATCAACTGGCGCCCATGCGCATCGACATGGAGCCGGATGTTCCGAAGCATACGGTTGCCTATTTGCGAAAAATTGGTCATGAGATCATGTTCCTTGAGGATGACAAGGCCTATTCCGCCCAAACGGCTATCGGAATCCTGGGCGGCGAACCACATCCCATTTGCGATCGAAGAAGAGTGGGTAGCGCCGTCGTCGTGGAGCCAGATCGATTTGACTAGGTCTGGATTAGGGGTTCATTTCATCTCAACCTTGGAAAAACCACCGTGGGGAAAGAGTGCCGACAGATATTTCCGTTTCCAAGCCCCGGAAGTTCGTTTTGTACTGTAAGAGTTTGTTTGTAACGATATTGTTGTTTTTAACCATTAAAATTGTTTGTTTATAGGATATTTAAGGAGAATCTCTGTTGGTAGTTGGGATATTATCAAGATTTCGACAACATCTTAAAAAGGAAATTTAAAATTTTATAGTTTAAATAATATATATTTCTTTTAAATTCAATATACAAAAATTGGGTTATTAAAAACGAAAAGAAGTCTCATTGACTCGCATGAGTTGGTTTCCGGTCTAGTAATTCTTCAATTGATTCTATAAATGTTTACTTCCGCCTAACTGTAGATAATTTAAACTGTTTTAAAAAAGTGAAGCATGTAACATAGGAAAAAAACCAGTTTATTTTTGAGAATGACAAATTCTGGGTTTGTATTTACAAATATATTCCCCCTAAAAAGGCTAAGACTCTTTTTTTAAGTAGGGTCCAAGGTTTCAGTGTCACAAAAGTGAACAATTTATACATTGTAGAATTCAATTTGCATTCTTTTTCGAAGAAAGAACTTCATGAAATCCCAAAAGTTAAATGTATTTTTACACTTAAAGATACTATTTTTGTAATATAAAAAGAATCGGCTGGCCGAAGTTACATTTTCTATTAGTTTCAGTTTGTAAATAGCAAAAATAGATGATTATAGATGGTCTATATTTAGGCGCACATACCTTGTATATGTATTTGTAGATGGCGTGTGTGCTTGGGGCTTATACTAAACTAGGGCACAAAATTAATTAAACAATGTATTCAGATATATAAAAACACAACAGGCACAGCTTCTGGAATCAGCATCGGTCGACGTTTGGTCATACGCTCGATAAGACAACACCGTAGAGGAGGATTAAGGTATTTTGAGATTTTCACGATGGGCTCCTCTAATCTATACGTCTGCCCTTCTTCTTGGCCATTTTTTGCTTTTTATGAGCCGCCTCCATGCGCATATCCTCGAGATCCTCTTGCATTCCTGTGAAAAACCATTAATTAGCCTGGCTTTCTCGGGAGTTTTTTGTTCGGAGCCAATAACTCACCCAACTTCTTGCTTATGAACTCCTCCCGCTGCATCTGCGCAAAGCTGGACTCCATTCCTCGATCATCATCATCCATTTCGCGATAACGCCGCTTATCATAGCCAAAGATGTCGCGGATGTGTGAAGAAATATCCTCCTCGCAGTCGCCATCATCAATGAAGTCGTCCAACTCAGAATCGTACTCGTCTTCATCATCGTCGTCGTAAATGCGTCCTAAATAAAGAAAATGCAAATTAAAATAAACGTAAGATTACTTTTTGCTGTGATCTTACTTTTGTTACTTGGCTGTTCTTGAGGTTTCCGTCTCTTGACATCTGCAGGCGGGAACTGCCTGCCGCCTGATGATCTCTGTACATCCGCGGGTGGAAATTGTCTCGTTTTGCCAGGCGCCGGAGCAGCTGGACGATCTTTTGATGGGATGGAAGGCCGATCCCTGGGTGGAAACTCTCTAACAGCTCCGTTTTTGTTGGCCGCCGCATAAGGGTTCTTTGAGGGGGCCTCCCTGTTTGAACTGGAGCTAGATTTCACCGCCGCCAATGCATTTGCTCCTGGTTTGGCGGGTAATGGAGTTGACTTACCAGCTGGTTTTATACTTGAGGCAGGATTACGGCTAGTAGAGGAATGGGAATTGGAACTAGAGGAACTGTGTGAACTTGAGCTGGCTTTCGCTGGCGGTGGGGCCAGGGGTTTTTTGAAGCTTTCACTTGGTGGATTCGCTGGCTTGGCTTGATTGAGCTTGGGTATGCGTCCGTTCGGCTCCATACGATTGGTATTAGTTTTTGGAGTCTCCTTGCCTTCACTTTCCCGCATCTTGTCGCGCTGTGCGCGCTGCTCCTTTTGTCGCTGGCGTTCCTCCATTTCACGTTTCTCACGGGCGGATAATAAACGCTCCGGCTCCTTTTTCTTTTCAGGCTCAAAGATCACGGGTTCGTGTTGTTTCTTTTCAGCGAGACGGAGAAGAGCTTGGAAGTCCATTGGCGGTGGTTGAGCAGTTCGCTTTAACTTGGCCTTTCGCGACTCCTCCTCCTGCCGCTTCTTACGCTCCTCCTCGCGTTTCTCCGCTTCCGGATCGTAAAGCGTTTTGGATGTGCTATATGAACGGGCAACGTTGGGATCCTTTGACTTGGAGGCGCTGGTTGCAGGTGTACTAGTGTTTCTCTGCCGTGTGTGAGACTTAGCCTCCTCCTTTTCCCTAGTGATGGCTGCTTTTACGCGCTCCTTGGTCCCGGAAAGATCTCGTAGGGATTGTGGTCTACTGGGAGCAAACCCCTTGTCCTCCTGCACATCCCGCACCTTCTCAATGTACTTTTCGTAGAAGGCATTCGCCTCATTAGACACATATCCATAATCGTCGCCCTGCCCTTCCCCCGCCTCGTGACCATTAACGGCTCCATCGCCATCCTTGGCATCCTCCATAACGGACTTGTTGGCCGACTTGGTGACCTTGAGCATTTTACGGATCTTGTTTTTTGATTTTTCGTCCCTTTTGGCCAACAGCTCGTTGAGTTTCTGGCGCTCCTCGCGCTTCTTTTCCGCCTCCTCGGCCTCCTTCTTTCGAAGAAACTTCTGGATATTGCTTGACAGCTGTTTGGACTCCTTGGACTCTTTTTTGGGTGGCGCATATTTTGTGCTATAGTATTTGCCCTGTCCCGGGCCCTGCAAGTGTAAACATGGACTTGTAGAGCTCGAAGCTGGTATTTGGGGTCAGTGAACGCAGGTAAAACCACTTTCCCCTAGCCCGCCTTATGGCGTCCTTCGGAGTTGGCCACCTGGTCACCAGAATACCCACCTCGTCCTTGGTGGCCGCATCGTTCTTCTTTTTGGCGTAGTGCAGCAGGGCCCCAAAATCCATTTTGTGATCCGTATCCGTGTCGTCTTTTCGTGTCGATCCAATGTTACCAGATGTTGAAATGCGACTGCTCTGCCCCCAACCTGACTGTTCTTGACTGTCCCGTATTATGTACTAAAAAATCCGGCACTTTCCCTCTATGCTAAAATTCGTTCCATGTCTACTCAGTTGGATATTGAACAGGATTAGTACTGCATTATTATTTTACATTGTATTTATATCACTAGCGTTACATTCACATCACATCGTTATTGTGTTATAAATGCCAATCGATACTACATTTCATCATAGGCCTATCGGGACACAGATATCGAAAGATGCAATTGCCTGAGGACTATCGAAAGTCGGCGAGGAAATAGAAAAAAAAGCTGATATTGTGTTGATTTTAAAAGGCGTTAAAAATCTGAATAAAGGGCTTTCCCATTGGCTGACGAATTAGCCATGCCCACCGAACCTGACCAGATGACCAGCGAGTACAGCAAGAGCGGCAATCCAGGTGCCCAAAGTCCGGGGACCAAGGAATCATCTGCCGACGACTGCCTCCAAATTAACAGTGCTGAGGAGGAGGGAGCATCCAATCCTCCCGATTCCTCCTGTTTCTGCGAAAAGCAGAAAGACTCCACGGACATGGACATAGACAACGACCTGACCACCAACGAGCGAATGCCCACGGTAGATGAGCTAGACCAGCCGAAAGAGCCCAAAACGAAGCCCCCAGAACTGAAGGAAGAGCAAGGCCAGGACCAGAAATTACTAGAACAGCTCCCCGTCCAGACGCCCAGTCCTACGACTACGATTAAAATCGAAGAAGAGGACAAGCCAGTAAAGCCGCCATCGCAATCTCAGTTTCAAGAGGTAATCCCACCCAACTCGCCGGAGGCACTGCCAAATCCCAGTCAGCGGCCAATTGGCAAGATTACCCGCAGCAGTCTGAATGGCACAGGTAACCAAGTGACCACTAAAACACCAACCATCATGAAGCGTCTGCGGAAGAGCACGCGCTTTAAGTCTAAGCAAACGGGTAAGGGTAATCCTGGAGGCGGCAATAACCAACCAAATGGCCACAACAATGGACCAAATGGAACCACCGGTAGCTCAACACATCTTGCAGGCGCAGGTGCCCATCCTAGTAATAGCAACAAGCATGGAAAGTCCGGTCCAGCTGGTCCAGGCGGAGCCACTGGAGCTCGAAATCGTCGTACTCTATTTAAAAGGCCAGCTCAAAAGACGCCAAAAGTCCAGGCTTGCACCAAGTTTGTGGAGAGTGTTTTCTACAAAGGCAGCTATATGCAAATTGGTGATATCGTAAGCATCGTTGATGGGGATCACAATCTATACTACGCCCAAATACGTGGTCTGCTTGTGGACGCCTATTGCGAGAAGTCCGCGTTCCTCACCTGGCTGATTCCTACGCAGGACAGCCCGGATCCCCAGGAGGGATTCGATCCGTCTACCTACCTAATTGGTACGTCTTCGCTTTTATTAAAAGTTATAATTTCACTTAAAGATCACTTCTTTCGATCTTTCAGGACCAGATGAAGAGCTATCCCGGAAGCTCTGCTATCTGGAATTCGTGATGCATGCGCCCAGCAATTACTATTTCGATCGGAGCACCCCGTTCCCCCTGCCGGATGTTGACGAGTACACAGCTCAGAGATCTGGTGGCTATATCTGGACGCGACTGCCCGTAGTGAAGCGCGAAAAGGGGAGTGGGCACAAAACGGGCGGCGTCTCCTAGCACGAAAGGTGGCCCAAGGGCAAGAAAAAGAAGGCCAGAGTCCTGAATTTAAATAATATAATTTATTGAGTGAAAAATACAAAAGTGTGTCTGAAAAAAAATGTTTTAAGATTTTACTGTATAGAGCCACACACTCCCAGATTTTATTTAATGCTTTCCCATACTAAAAATTCAGCACGATTTGATAAATATTCTTTAAGGAATCTTAATACTATTTTATCTGGTAAGAAATTGTATTCCTATTAAATAGGCCATGTTGTCTTCGGCTAACAAAAACTCTTTCTAAATGAAATATTAAATAGAATACCTAGAATAAGAGCCAAATTGCATTTTTAGATACATATCAATAAATCGTATTCTCTTAACAGCTTGAAGAAAATAACCATTTTTGCACCCTTTTTAAATAATTAGTAATTGGATTTATGATTTTATAAAACTACTCTTTAACTTCTTTAAAAGTTTAAACAATTTATTTGACGATTTTAAGAATTGATTGTCTGTAAAAAAAACATTTGTTTAAGCCCTATTAAAAACATAAATAAATATATTTATTGAATTATTATTTGTTTGTTTTTGTAAATAGATTAAAAACAAAAAACTTGTAAAAAGAATATCGAATGGATAACCCATAACATCGATATATATTTACTCATTTTAAAAACCGATTGGAGATGTGAAATTATCGATAGTGGAATCAATAGTATCGCAATTACTATGACAGTAGTAAATAGTAGTGGTATTCTTGCAATATAAATTTTTTTAAAAATTTAGCAAGTACGTTAATTCTTAAATATTTTAAGTTCATATCATATCATAATAAACATCAAATGTATTAAAAAAAAGCTATACATTGGAAACAAAAAAAATGCAAAATGAAAATTTTTTTTTTATATATACGTACATAATTTTTAAAATACATTTAATTACTGATGGTACAGGAAATTGCTTAGATAATGAATGTAAGTTTACTAAGAGTCTGCGGTTTTAAAGCTTCCCGGTTTTCTAAGATGAAAATCATTTTATGAGATATCCTGTATATGTGGCTGGTATGTAAATACATTTTGTAGCGCATTTGGCTGGTGAAAGCATATTACAATAATGTTGCTGTAGTATTAAAAGCTACACTATTAAAAGGTATAAATAAATAAAAGTAAATTAGTACTCGGTCTCATCAGAATGTTAGAGTTAATTTTTAGGTCCTTTACATATATTATTTATTTTACTTTAAATATGGTAATAATATTAATGGATGCAAGGTATCGATAGTGCCATCGATATATTGACTGCTGTATTCCCGACCGTCACTGACACGCATTTTCATTGTCTTTTTTGCGAAACGGAACAGCTAACCGGAATTAGTTAGTCAATTGTAGATTTCGTTGCGAATTATTACTCAGGACTAATCAGGCTAAGGCCAGACAATGGAGGTGGACGAGGAAGAGTTCGAGGTACCTTCAAGCAGCAGTAAGGGCGAGAAAAAGCGGTTCGAGGTGAAAAAGGTAGTGCAAAAAAGCTTGGTCATTGGCATTGAAAACGTTATTAATATCCTTTTCTTTCACCCAAAAACAGTGGAATGCCGTTGCTTTGTGGGCCTGGGGTGAGTAATATTCTAGTATTAACTCCTTACAGTTAAAAACCGTAGTTTCCAATTTCCAATTTGCAGACATTGTGGTGGATAATTGCGCCATTTGCCGCAACCACATCATGGACCTATGCATAGAGTGCCAGGCGAATCAAGCATCCGCCACTAGTGAAGAGTGTACCGTGGCCTGGGGCGTTTGCAACCATGCTTTCCACTTCCACTGCATCTCTCGTTGGTTGAAGACCCGCCAGGTATGCCCGTTGGACAACCGCGAGTGGGACTTCCAGAAGTACGGCCACTAAAATTGAATTCCTCAAGGAACTCCTGATGAAGCAGCCTTAAATTTCCCTGAAGTTCACACCAAATCATCCTGTAAACATCCAAGCTTGAACTCTTTTTTTGTTAGAACTTCCTTTTCTGTTCCTGCAAATGGTACTTCCAGAAGTAGGAAATCCTCAAGGATCTTTGGATTCCTTTGTTAACCAACCGTGAAAGCTGCTTCATCAGGCCATTTAAATTATATACCTTCGTAGACGTTAAGCAAACGGATCGAAGAATTTGGTATCCTTCACATCGGTATCCGGATTCTCTGATTCCCCGACAAGCCGACATTTTTGTAACGCATTAAATAAAAGCTGAATAAGATGGAGAAAACTCCTTTCTGTGTTGGAAATTTGGCTTATCTATCTAGTATTTCGTAATCACATAGAAAACCCCTATCAAAGATAGAATTTTGGGATGTGCATAATATTTGGTTTGAGTGGAATATTATGAGAAAAGCTTCTGATTAGTGTAACTGCTTGCGGCTTAGACTTCAATTAAATGGTTCAATATGTCTGCAAAACAATCATATTAAGCATAATCTTTAAAAAGTCTCCACCTATAAATAATCGAGCTAAAAATCATTGTAATTAGCAAAAGGTCCTTCGTTCAACAAATATGGCCAAAAAGATTGAAAAATAACAAAAATCAACAATTGACATAGGAAGAAAAACCATGCATTTTTAAAAACTAAATGTTCTTTTTAGTTTATTATGAATGTTTTGCGACCGCACGGTCGCGGCTGCTGTAAATTGTTGGTGGCTTAAAAAATAATACACAGTAGTTACACATATGAATAAAGTATATAATATATATCGAATATGATTAATGTTAATTATATATGCTAGCAACTAAACTTATAGGTAAACAAAAAATAATCGTATCGTTAAAAAATCATATCCATATTTATTACTACAGGTAATAAAAGTATAATCGAATCGGTTTGTAGGCCAAATACATTTGGGTGTGTATGTGTGTGTGTGCAGTTGCAATGGCTTAGTTTTTTAAGAACTAAACTTTCAAGAGAAGAAGAACAACATAAGAACTAACAAAATATGGATAAGACGTTTCGGGGCTTGGAATCAAATGATGGAGTATGCATGTGTGTGAGCTGATTTGATTGCATTGAATCGAATGGATTAAACGATACATTGAACTGTAACTAGACTATTTAAATCGCTGAACCACTTGAATCACCAATTTTTCGAATTGTTTTTAGCAGTTTTATTCGTATCTTCGGTTTAATCATTTTATTTTGCTTCCGCTGGCTTCATAATTCAATTCTCCGTTTCGTTTTGCTTTATATACATTGTATTCTGTTTTGTGAGAATTTATGATTTGCTATGTTTCGCTCTTTCCCCTTTCTACTCTTCTGATTTGTTATTATTAATATTAAATTTGTTGTATATATATATATATATTTATATATATAATTACTTAATTGAGTTGTTTATATATTGCTGTTCTTGTTGTTGCTGCTGCTGCACTATTGTTTTGTTGTTGGCTTTTGTGGGATTTTCTAAAGTATCCATTATATATATTTATTGGTTTCGTTTGTAAATATAAGATTTTTGTTTCATATAAAGTTAACGTTAGGTTGTAAGGCGTCTAAAACCGCTGCTAATTGCGTTGTTGTGTCTGTGTGCATTGCATTTAGAATATGATTTCTATATCCTTCCTCATATTCGTTATTGTTTTTATGGATCCTGGGCTGCTTGTTTTTCGTTCTGCTGGTTATTCCTCAACTGTACATGATTTGGATGCGATTTAATTCTATTCTTAGCTTTTTTACTATCAAATTGCTGTTGGTGGTACTGCTGTTGCTGAAGATGTTGCTGCTGCTGCTGCTGCTGCTACTGCTACCGATGTTGCTGATGTTCCTCCTGTTGCTGTCGTATTTGCAACTCGTTGCATTTGCCTCCAATCTTTTCCTACTCTTAAGCTTTAAATTTCCACCTGCAAAAAGAAAACACACCACGCACACACACACACACACACGCAACATGCAACGCGAACATAAAATAAAGGACACAAAGGATTCGGAGAAGTTGGGAGTAATCACAAAGAGAAAAAGAGAGAAATAGAAAAGAAAGCAAAAAAAAAAAGAAACAGTTATAATCAGGTATATATATCCGGATTCGATTTAACAAATTTGTCAGCCTGCTTTTTGCTTTCTGAATGTGAAAACCAAGGATATATCAAGGATCTACTTGGACTAAGATCTAATTCTAGGGTTTCTATAGGGTTTTACAGATTCAGCAGCAGCAGAGGCAACGACGCCAGCAGCGCAGCAATCCGTGGTCTCCCACCGTTGCATTTCCTGTTTTTTTCACATTGTGCTCCTCCAAATCCTTGTCCTGGATTTCCCTCCTCCTTCTTGTTCCTCCCCTTCTCTTGGCAATGGCAGCTGTGCTTAGTCAATTTGCTTGGAGATCAGTCGTTGGTTATTTCTGGCCATGATGGTTGTTATGATGATGATGAGAGGCAGCTGAGGCTGTCGACGTAGAAGTGGCAACAACTCCTATTCCTCCACCGCCGCTGGACTTCTGCTGGTTAATCTGCTGCTGATTTTGCAGACTGGCAAAACTGGTGGGCGCCAGGAGGGCACATGTGCCAAATGTGTGCTTTGGCATGCTCAGGAATCCAGCTCCTCCTCCTCCTGAAGAACCACTGCTGCTGCTCACAATAGCCTGTCCCTGTCCCGGACTTGAAGTTCCCGTAAACTTTCCCAACTGGTAGTAATGCATCGCATAGGAATCCTCCCCAGCACCTCGCTGTTTGCCATTGGGAAAATAGCTATTGCTGTTGGTAGTCGATGTGCAGGCCGATTGAAAGGAGCTGCTGGTCGTCGATGAGGGTGATTGGGCAGCAATGGGTTGACCCACCGTGGATGAATCCACTGCTTCTGCGGATGAAGAAGTGGCTCCTCCTCCGCCGCCAGACGAACTGGTGCTGCTTGAGGAGGTATTCACAGTCAAACTGGTGCTGCTGGCATACGATACATTAAAGGACTCATCACCACCGCCGCCACTGCTGTTTAGGTCATCCATGCCGCTACCCGCTCCCTCTGCTGCTGCTGGTGGAATGTCTATTGTGTGGGATTCGTTGCCAAAGATCAAACGAAGACGCTTTTTCTGCGGTGTGCCATAAACACTACTACTGCTCGGCGCTGGCGATCTGCGTTGGCTACTCCTGCTCCGGCTGCGTTGTTTCTTTCTCTGCTTCTTGGTAGGCAGCTGCTGCTGCTCCTCCTCCTTCGGCGGCGGCTCGTCTTCTTCGGCAGCTTGCTCTTCGTCTTCGTCGTCGTCCTCTTCATCTTCCTCCTCGTCATCATCGTTTCCATGCTCAGAAATGCCCTCCATTCGCAGTATCTCGTACTCAATGCCATTGGAATTACTGCCGGTTAAATTAAGTGCAGCTCCAGATGATCCTTCTCCGCTTGTTCCACCGCGATGGGAGCCAGCCGCATTCCGGCCAGATCCTCCATTGCTTAGACTCGTTCCGAGTTCAATAACCTCGTCAAGGATCGGCGAACGTTTCATGCGTAGCGTTAATTTCAGCCGGCGCTCTGGGGTCTTAAGCAGAGGTTCCACATTACTTATTACAGCGGATGAGGTGGCAACTTCTCCTGTCTGGGCTCTCTTCCGTTGGCCCCCACCAGCAGATCCCGATGGTAATCCACCCAAGGCTTCGCAGTGGATACTCTGCGCCGCTGCCAAGGCTGCTGCCCGTCGACTACGTTTCTGCTTGACCGGTGGATTAATAACCCCTTCGTCCCTTTGGTGCTCCTGCTGCGGCTCCTTGATTGATTTGTTGGAAGGAGGGTCGGGATCGAAGCTAGCCAAAAGGTTTTTCTTGTAGGCGGGACTCGGGCTGCGACTGCGATGCATTGCCTGCTGCTGCTGCTGCTGATTTTCTGAGGATGTGGATGTAGATGAGGGTATGGACGAGGCCTCACTTGGTGCTGGCTTCTTCGATTTAACACTAAGTCTACCGCTAAGATTAGAATTATGATTAATTCTACTGCTATTATTACTATTATGATTATTACAATTTGTAATCGTTGTTGCTTTGTTGCTGCTGCTGCTGTTGTTTGTTGTGGTTGCAATGTTATTGTTATGGGCAGTGGCTAATCTGGCTACAAATCCTCCTCTTCCTGCACTATTTCGCGTCACACGCTTCTCCTGCTGTTGCTGCTCCTTTTGCTTCTCCTCCATCTTCTCTGGATGTGGTTCCTCCGCTAAGATCAACGTTTTGGGCGGCTGTTGATGATCCAGCTGCTTTTTCTCCCGCTTTTGCTGCTCGCAACTGGTGTCGCTGCTATCACCGTCTGTAAGCTTCTCTTTCTGTCGTTCGCTACGCCTAAGCTGACGCTGCTGACGTTCGTGCAGAGCGGCGATGGCCATCTGGGCTGGCTTGCAGCGGGGCACAAGGACCACTGGTGCCTTGGTTGGCAGCGGAATGCTTGACACGACCACTGGTGCCACCACTTCGTCTGTGGAAGCGGTGGATATGCTGCTGCTGGTACTATTCACTCGCATCGATTTGCGCAGGTTACTTGAGCGACCACCATTAACCTCGGAGCCTGCTCCGCCGGCCACGCTGCCCCCTGTTGCTGATCCAGTACCTCCTCCCGGTCCTGTTCCTCCTACACCTCCTGGTTTCTGCATGGCCGCCATTTGTTGCACAGCCGCTGTGGCCTCGGCTCCAGTACTTGCATGCTGGCCGTGATTGTGGTGATGGTGATGATGATGATGATGGTGATGAAAATGATGTTGATGATGATGCTGCTGCTGGTAGGCTGCATTGGCCATTATCATCTCGGCATCGTACTTCGTCATGCCCTTTTGGCGCAGCTCTTTCATCGTGAGTGGGGAAACCACAACGTTAGGCAGTTTCTTTTCAACCAGAGAGACAGCGGCAGTGGCCTCCTTGCCGCCAGTTGATGGCTGCGATGGAACAGGCACTGCGGCTCCACCAGAAACCACCAGCCCATTCGTGCTGCTGCTTTCGCTGGTGCCAGTGGAATCATTAGTATTGCTATTGCTGTTCGAGGTGCTGTTTGTGGAGTTGGCTCGGCTTTTGATGCGATTGATCCGATTGTCCGTCTCCCTCAGGCGATAGCCACCGTTATTGCCAGGGCCACTGCTTGCCAATCCGAGACCCATGCTGAGACCCAACATCAGGCCATCATCCTTTCCGGCAAAAGCTCCAGTTCCACGGCGTTCACACGTTTCGCACTCACAATAGCGATTGGAATCCCCAAAGAAGTCCTCGCCATAAAAACAGGTTATCTCCTCACCTACCTCGATGTCGCGAAGGACCTTTACACACGCGGTATCCCTTCCGGTGGCCAAGAACTTGCAATTGGCGCGACAATCGTGGTTGATATAGGCAGCAGGACCTAGCCACAATTGGGCACAATTCTTACGGCAACTATACATCACCGAAAAGTCATTTTTGCCTGAATGTAGCAAGGCAGCCTCCTCCGCCTCCGTCAGCTCAGCGATGCAGCCCACCAGACATTCGATCTTGTCGTTCTTTGACCAACGCTTCGTCGAGCTGATCTTGGCGCCGCGTTGCTCCTCCAGTGAATATCTATAACAGGCCTCGATCGCAAACCCACTGTCCTTGTCGAAAACACGCAAGTAGCGAACGATCTGAAATGTATTAAAATTAAAAGGGATCTTGATTAATAGGCATAACAATTATTACCTAGCATTATAATAATAAACAGATAAACGTGGATATATGCACAGCATTTTGGAAACTGCCGGAAACTTACATGATCGTGAAGCCGCTTAGTGGCGATCTTGTTCTTATTCTTCAGATGACGCGGAATCCATGGACCATCGTAGATGCGCTGGATGGCCACATCATAGTTCTGGGTGTGGATAAAGTCATCCACAATGGCCTTCAGCTGCTGAGTATCCACCTTCAAGGGGCGGAAGCGTATGTTCATCTTGTGGGTCTGAAAACCAAGATGTGGGTCTAGGATCAGCGATGTGGCCAGGTCATCATTCTCGGAGAGTTCACGCGGCGACATGCCAGTGGATTGAGAAAGGCGGCTGACGGCACCGCCGTTGCAGCCATTGAGCCCACTGACCACTGACCCCGATCCAGAAGATCCTCCGCCACTGCCATTCGAGGAGTGATGCGACTGATGGTGGTGACTGGGCTGTTGATTCGCCTGTTGATAGTGGGCATGTGGATGGTGATTGGCCGCCTGGTGATGCTGCTGGTTTCCCTGGTGGTGTGCAGATGGCGGTGCGGATGGCGAAGGGCCATGTCCCTTGTTGGACATGGACGACAACAGAGACGCAGCTGTCGTCGTCGACGAGGAATTGGTGGCTAGTGAAGACGTTGCGCTGGTGGTGCTGCTGGCCGAAGCGGTGGAGCCACCGTTTGAGCCACTGGAGCTGCTGCTGTTTGTAAATCTGCTGCCAGTTTCACCACGCCGCGTGTTGTTCGAGCCGACGACCATTCTGCAGGACAGTCTGAGAAGATAAAGAACCATTAAAATTTAAAATATTTTAGAACATAATGAGAGTGAGTGGTGGAGTCAAGTAGATTAAATGATTAAAGAAGATTCTAACATTAAATCAAATGACCCGGCAATTATCAGCTGTTTTTTTGATTTTAAATCGCGACGAATCGCATCGTTTTCGTCCTATCTGGCAACGCCGCTGTTCTTAAGTTACATGGTAAAGAGCGAGATGCCCATATATTTTCCAGGACTAGGACAAGTGCAAAAGATTTGCACTCACACACACACACACACTTTTTTTCTCTCCCTCTCTCGCAACAAAGGATAGTATTAAAATTATGTTTAATTTGCAAAGCAGCTGTTTAGAACAATAAAAATTGCTCATATATTTCACTTATCTCGTTCTGAAATTTATGGTCGTAATTTTATTTTTATTCATACGGCTTCGCGAACAAAAGAGAGAGAGAGAGAGACCGAGTATGTGTAACTGAGGTCGTCGACAGACCTCTTCCTCTCGCTTGCACTCATTCCAGGCCCTTCGAACACACACACATACACGAAAAAAAAAATCAATTAACTTGACAAGCACATGTAAAAAATAGTATCGATCGACAAGAAAAACAAAGACAATACGGTAATCCTCGAATACACACACACACTTACTGCAAAAAGTATTAAGCATATCTATGTGCGCGCGACTGTGGCCGAACAAAATGCGAACCCAACAACAAAAAATGTATTATCGATTTACATGCACAGCAAACAGTAATTTCAAATTTTGCATATTCTTGAAGCTGCGCGGCAATAGCAACTGAAGTCTTTTTTTTCTGGGCTAACAATAGTCGGCGAAACCATAAACTAACATAAACACAAGTGGGTGGTGCTGGGAAACATGGCTGGAAATGAATATTTGTTGCTGGCCGAATTGTTCTGAATGGACATGAATTTTGCTTGCAAATTGCTCTCTCAGCTGTTTACAAACGCATACACAAACGCACAGGCACACGCACGCAGGCGAGAGTGAGAGAACGCATATGCGCAGTGAGAATGACAGAAAAGGGTTGTCAAAAGCACAAATCCTTGCAAATTTCAAATAATTAAATATGGGAGAGATATTATAGAATTACTTAGGGCCTAACTAGATAGCTCCCTGGGTATATAACATCTGGAAAATGTTTACTTTGCGATATAGGTTTTTTTGTTAGTATTTTTAGTGATTTGCCAACCCTAGGCCTTCGTTACATGGGAACGAAAAATGGCGGCGCCTGTTAGACACACACACACACGAACGGTCGCACACACTGATGTGTTTATACACTTCTTGCTGTTCCTTCTTTTTTGCACTTCTTTCGATTGTTGTAAACATTTACCTTAAATGAATAATTCACTAGGGCGCTATTGTGCCTCTCGCTCGCACTTGCAAAACGATGCTTTGTCTGCTACTTTTGTGAGTGTGTGTGCGTGCGTCTTTTTCCACGGCTTTTCGTCGAGACACGCACATATGCAAAGCAACACACTGGGCTGGAGCTGGAATTGGTTTTGGCTGCGTATCCAAAATATATCGCGCTTGCTGTGCCAAATCATTTTAGCTCTTAACGCCTTTGTTTCCCAAAAACATCCAAACGCTATCCATGGCTCGCGCTCTCTTTCTCGCTCATTCGCTTGCTCGCGAGACGCTCCAAAAGTCGCGAGTCGGGAAGGGAATCTATCCCTCTCCTTCACGCCTAGAAGCTGCTGCACACACACATACACACAGACGGATACATATATTCCTTCGCCGAGCGAGACGTGTGTACGTGCGTATGTATGTATGCCTTTTTTCTTCACTTCTTTTTTTTCACGCGTCCTCCGCTCCGTCGAACTAACTTTTCAAACTTCTACAGCCGCTTTGTTTTCAGGATAGGAAAAGATTGGTTCTAATTCGTACTTAATTTACAAAATGCGGCTGCTTTTTTTCCGCGATTATTCCGATTCACCAGTGTGACCGCGGCTGGGCCATTGACGAATGCCGCCAGTGTGACCGTTTGGCGACTGCGAATTGGCATCGATAGCTATCGATTAGTTTCTTAGCATGTACACCTACCATTGATTTTCAGTATAAATATTTTTTTAGTTTTGTTTTATTTATTTTATTCAACAATAAAATATAAAAAAGAAGAAGAATAAAAAAGGTTACCAGTAAAATTTTATTTAATACTTGCCAAATATTAAACTTTAAAAGTAAAATAAATTTCTGCGATTTACATAAATGACGAATTAAATCCCATTAATAAGATACTGCATGATAGGAATTTGTGAATCAATTAATTAATTTTAAACAAGTTCATTTATTGAGGAATACAAGTTTTAAATAAATTATCAAGACCTAGTTGCATTTTAACTTATGCCTAATAAAAATTGGCGAATGATTTGTAGCTGGGATTTGTGAATTTTCATATAACAATTTCAAAATATTTGAAATGATCAATCGTTTTATTAAATAAGATTTCTAAGTTTTTACGCGATAAAAGTCTTATATAAATTAGCAGCGCGTAGCGTTCATGTAAGAATAATTATGCTTTGTTTAATTTTTTTTTATTGTATAATTTATCAATTTTTAAAAAAGTGTGTTACTTGCATTTGGGTACCCTTTTTCTGTTTAAAGAGCATTTAAATACCAAAACGTGTATTTTTAGCAGCAAGGTATATTTTTCTTACTTTAATGCGGCCACACTTCTTATCTTCACTGTTAATTTTTCCTTGTCAATCGTTGACGTCTGACTTTTTATCAGAAATCAAACTAGCTGCCGTGCGAGAATTGCTGAAATTCGAAGATAATTTACCAAGGTAAGTAGCGGCTTAAGAGGAAAACATAAAAAGTTAGGGAAATGGCTGTGGACCAAAGCGAAAACGCACTCACGTAAACATACACCAACACTTACCAGCACTGCGCGTTTGTATGTGTATGAGTGCGCATTTCTGGAAAGAGTCATTTTTTTTATTTTCGTTATATTTTATATTATGTGCTCATTACACTAAGTTTTCTACCTCCCTTGTTGAAGTATTTTAAGGTCACTAAACATTATGTTTCATACGAAGATTATGTTTAAAATGCTTTACATATATATATAGACCATTTGCTTATTATTGAACACTGGTGGCCAATCATTTATATATATACCCGATTCATTTTCCAGGAAAAGCGAACGAAAAACCTAAAAATGCCTAGCATCAAGTTGCAATCTTCGGATGAGGAGATCTTCGATACTGACATCCAGATCGCCAAGTGCTCTGGAACCATAAAGACCATGTTGGAGGATTGTGGCATGGAGGACGATGAGAACGCCATTGTGCCGCTTCCCAATGTAAACTCCACCATTCTTCGCAAGGTCCTAACCTGGGCCCATTACCACAAGGATGATCCCCAGCCAACGGAGGATGATGAGAGCAAGGAGAAGCGCACCGACGACATCATCTCCTGGGATGCCGATTTCCTGAAAGTGGATCAGGGTACCTTGTTTGAGCTCATCCTGGCTGCCAACTATCTGGACATCAAGGGCCTGCTGGAGCTCACCTGCAAAACTGTGGCTAACATGATCAAGGGCAAGACTCCCGAGGAGATCCGCAAGACCTTTAACATTAAGAAGGACTTCACGGCTGCCGAGGAGGAGCAAGTGCGCAAGGAGAATGAGTGGTGCGAGGAGAAGTAAAGCGTCATCGTCGGCGGGATCAAATTCAAGGCCAACGGATGCGGAGTTAATGAATGGCGGTCCTGCCTCGTCGGAGCTTTATTTAGTTGCTACTCTCATTACACATTTTTTTTTCTTTTTTCGCATTTGTTCTTAACTCTGATAGACCCTTATATTGAACTCCTTATTTTGATCTGCTCCAAGCGTCCTTCGTGCTTGATGTGATTCGCGGCGAGTCTTTTGTCGTACATATGTTTTCATATATAGATATATATGCGAAAATGTAAAACTATGTAGCTATATGCATAAGAACCATTTGATTTTACTCAAATAAATATGTACTACTCACACACATACACACTAGAAACCAAAAAGTTTCCTGGGATTCCCCGTTTACGGAATGCCTTTCAATTTCATGAGAACCTGCCATGCCGATTTTTCGAAGAAGGGGATTCCATGAAATGCCCTCTGTGCATTATAGGTCTGTTAAAATGTATAAACTAATTTGCATTTGATTAATAACACATTGTAATTGGCAATATGATCTGCCTTGATGCCTTTGGAAGGGAAGTTGAGCGTGTGTTGGCGACAATAGTTTCAGAAAAAGGCAGGTGAGGTGAGATTGCTCTCTATTTCAGCCATTTTCAGCTGTATATGAATGTGTGTATGCATTGTCAAACTGAAGTTAGAGAGCAGTGACTGTAAGAACTCGTAAAATTTGAATGGCAAATGCGCGCCAATGGAGTCATGTAATGTTAAGGCTAACGGTTAACAGAACTTAGAAAGCTCACAACAGTCGGTTAAGTGTTATCGATTTGTAGCAACGGTTTGAATATTGTCTATTCATAATCATACTCTAAATTATTATTAAAGAATATTATCAGCCATGTAAACTTAATGTAATGGAAATGTTTCTCGAATGTTTTTATTTGCTATTGGTTTTTTATACTTTATCTTTTGTTTTTGTAAATTTACTATAACTTTTTTCAAGTTTTTAACGTATCTTGGACCAAAATGCAAAGCACTTTTAGGAGTTAGCTAAAGCTTTTATCGGTTAGTCTTAACCGTTTCGGCTTCAGTGGCGCCAAAAATTCCAATTTTAATGGCGCGGAATTTAAAAATAATGTCAAAATAAATTTAATTACTGATTTTCTGAGGCTTTTTATATGAGTTATTTTTAAGTTTAGTAAATAGTCTGCCCATTAGGTCCTTGGGAACTCCGAAATTTATGTTTTCTTCATGAACTTGGATAAAAAAGCTATTTAAAATGATAATTTAAAGTAAGCAATATAAGAAGAGTATAATACGAAGATTTTACTGTAGAGTTTTTTAATAGAAATAGCACAGGTTGGGATATAAAAATCTCATTTTACCTTCGCAGGATGTCTGCACCTGTTTGGATTGTTCTTTGTAGTGCCGCTCATTTTGCTGGCCTGTTTATGGGTCCTGATTGCCAATACCGAACAAAGTAGATAAAGGTCTTGCAAGCGGAAGCAGGAAAGAAGGAGATTCGAGAGCGGGAAATGTATTGAGCAATCGCTTTGAGTGTGCTTAAATGTCCGTGCCAGACTTTGGGAGTTGATCGATGGCCAAAAAGCTAGAGAAGCGAAAAACTTGGCAAGCGAAAGTTTTCAATTCTTACCGGGATTTCCTGTTGGCCCAACTGACATTGAACTTATTGGTAATGCTTAAAGGTATGAGCTTTTAATATCCTACTTTAAGTGAAGTCCTTAAAAATAATGCCTTTGATTGATTTGCATCTTAAATTGCAGTCTCCCCTGCATATTGTCTTCGTAACTAGCAAATGCCAATTAAAATTAAATCGAAATTGTAATTTCAATTGGCTCTTTGTGTTTTGATTGCGCAGCGTGGCAAGTTATTAATATTGTTGGTTTATTATTATTATTATTTTTCAGCTGTTTCTGTTTTTGTTCGCCATTGTGTTTGGCTTGGAGCCTCCTTCTCTTGAGGAGCTCACCATTTCAATTATCACGGGGGTTCCCCCCCGTTCTTCCTCCTCCCCAAACTGAGACTGAATGCCGAAAGAGGGCTGGGCAAATAAAACCAAGGCAGAGCCAAGGAAAAAATTGCGAAAACGGCCTGAGCAGAGGAGCGGAAAAGAAAGAAAAAAGGGTTTTCCACTCCCACTGCCAAGGAGTAATTAGTGTGCATTTCCTTGGAACCCCCTCCCAAGCGCCGCCATAGCCCCCGCACTCGCGTGTGTTTGTGCAACATTTGCTTTTCCACTTCGTTTGCGACAATCAAATGTAACAAAGGAGCGGAAAAAAGGTTGCACAAAAAACGAAGGAAATTCCAGTGGGGGGGGTATATGGAGTGCAAGGAACAGGATGAAAATGGAAGATCAGGAGCAGGAACCCACACACTTCGAGAAAAACCTTTGGCTCTCTTTTCCCTGTCATTATGTGGACTAAAAGAGAAAGATGTTAAAATTGAAAGTATCTTTCGCAGTGCTTTAGCCGGAGCACCTGCCATTTGCCATCGCTACGCGGCACTCACCTGGCCGGTCCCTTTTATCGTCTAAGTCGTCGTCCTCCACTGGAACGTGACATTGAATACGTCTGCATCCCGGTGGCTCCTCCTCCTCCGCCTCCTCCTCCTTTACCCGATTTCTTCCACTCTTCAGTTCCTGGCCAATGCTAATCTCTCTGTAATTAAGACTGTCACTCATTCAGGCATTTGCTTGCCATTCAGTTTGCCCATCTTGGGAAGTTGGCAAGTCCTACTCCTTTCGTCCTTGCATCAATGGCGCAGGCGGATGGCTGGGCGTGGACCATTTGAATTGCCTTTAATTGCATGTTGTTCTTGCTCCCACTCCCACTGACAATTTGGTTGTTGTGCAGCCTTTGCACCCTTTATGGGAGCAGCAGAATAATACGATTTTCCAAGGGGTTTCAGGTTCAGGATCAACTTGTGCGGATCGTCCTTGCCGGTGAAGTGAATTGGCTGCCCCAAATGTGATTTTCATTTACTTCCGCTAGACTTTGCTTTGATTATTGAAAGTATACAAGAAAGGAAACCAAACAATGGGCCAGTCTAGTAATTAAGACTGCCCAGAAGGGTCACTTTAACTATGTTTTAGGGGGGAAAGTTTATAGCTTCTACAGATTCTGGGGGTAGAAGGAGAAAACCTATAAGAAAGACCCTTTAAGATCCATATTAATCCCAGATGGTCTTCAGTTTTCTATCCAAACACCATCTAAAACTCGAACAGCCTTTGTTTTGATCTAAAAACTGATTAACACCATCAATTTGAGGGGTCACCTAATCGCTGGGTGTGACCCATAGCTGTCCGTAGTTTATTTCGGACTGAATGTAGGCACTTGCTGATGTTGTGTTTCGCCATTCAGTTGCTTTATGATCCGGCACCATAAATTAGCGAGAGCATTGGATCAGCCAGAGACTTCGACTTGGACTCCACTCGGCAGTCGACTCTATTAATATCCGAGTGGGGGGGGGGCGGGTTTGCCCCAACCCAACGGCAGAAGCACGAGATTTATGGGCTCCAATGGGAATGCGTGGGATGTTATCGTAGGACTTGTAGTACTACTATATCGTCCACACATCGGCAAATGCATAATCCACACATCCGTACATACACATATGCGGTGAGGCAAAGTGTAAGTGTAAATTTCATCTGGCCTCCGAGAATTCCCCTCGCTCGCATCACCAATGCAAATGTAAATAATGCAACTTTCGGTTGCTCCATCTATCAAAGTCTGTTTGGGTAAGGGGAAGTGTGTGTGTGTGTGGGGTAGGGGCAGGGGCTGCTAAAACGTTTTGTTTATTGTTGGCATCAACTCTTCCGCCTCGGCTTCTGGCTCATGTGTTTTGTAATGCACTAGGAACGATGATGGGATAAGCTGTACCGACGTTGCCACGAATGATGGTTAAGAAAGGCAATTCAGAAAGCGGACAGCAGAGGTGTCTTATTCTTATAGGTTCTTAATTAGTTCTAAAGTTCTGATTAATAATGAATTACTAATCCCCAAGATATCTTTAGAATCGATAGAGCTCCCCCTTCTTTCACCGCCAAACTCCTTCACTTCGACTTCTATTTATATGAACTCCCTTCAGCGTTCATAAGAACTAAAATATCTGCCATAGATACATGAGGTCTGCAGATCTTTATTGTTATTGTTAGTGCTGCTGCCGCGGCAGTTCTGAAATCTTGAGTGGCACTTGAACATGAAATGGAAATGCCCGAGAATCCGTATGCATATTGCGATCATGAATGTTCCTCCCCTTTTAGTTACTTCGAACGGCCATTGACTCGGAGGAGGAGATTCTCCATGGTTTTATTTCGGTTGGCATCTGTTGCCAGGTCTTATTATTGGTCAGCTGAACAGTGCGTTTGGCTAATATGAGGCTGGTTAACTACTTAAAACTGAAAAACTTCAAATCGAAAGATTAAGCTTAGTTTAGTTTAGTTTAAGAAGGAAAGCTCTTCTAAGGAAAGATCTTTTAATCGGTGATTATTAGTTGGACTTACCATTCTGTGCCACAGCTTTTTACTTAACAGATGTTATAGGCTATATATGCTATATGCTATATGCGCATATATATTCCTGAACAGTCATAAACAGAGCATGCCGAATGGTGCTTCAGTGGCGTCATAAACTCCTCTTTCAGCCCTTCCTCCTCCGCTCGTAAACATTTCTCAAAACAATAAAAGATAGCTGAAATTTACGGAAGAAAATGTGCTAAAATCTCTCGACTTTTATAGAATATTCGAATCACTTTTGTTTCTGTTGTTCTTTCTTCTTTTGTTCCTAGATCTACATTCCGAAAGTTTTGGAACGTGCATAATGGCCACATCTTGGCTGTGGTGTTTATTTGGCCCGATACTCGTATATTCCAGGCCATGCAACTTCCGTCTTCCGTTCTACTGAATATTTTGTTGCAATTAGCAGCAGAGGCTCAGCTGGCAGCTGTGGCGTGGAATTTCCAATCGAGTAATGGTAATATCGAATCGGGAATTTCCCAAGGAGCCAAGGGGGGAGGTGTGTGTGTGTGAGTGGAACAAACTGAAACGAAACCGGTCAAGCGTCCATGCAAATTGTTGAAAATCATACACAGGGTGCCGGGCAGAGGTGTGGCCAAAAGGGGGGGGTGGGACAGATTCTGCACGCCTCCATGGGTGGGGCACTAGTGGGGACAGAGGCGGAGCCAATGGACAGTTGTGCATGAAATTTACATAAAAAATATAGAACGAAGAATAGAACTAGGAAGGTTTTTCAAGTTAAATGAGAAGTGGGAATCCCCTAAAATGCAGGCAACTTTCGATAATCAAACGATAGACAATATTCTCGATAATGTTTGCATTTGAAGACC